AAGAAGCGAGACATTGCAGGTAATTACGGCTCCGAAGTTCGAATCTGTGCCGACATGCGATTCCTCAATCAACATCTCATCGCCTCTAAATCTGATGCGTTTAGCTTACCTCGCATAGATGAGATCCATGAACAATTATCACATTGCTCCATTTTTACAGTTCTTGATTTAAAAAGCTGCTTTACTCGTTTTGCCATTGCTAAAGAATCCCAGCCATTCACAGCCTTCACCACACACACGGGACAATACGTCTTTCGAAAATGTTGTTTCGGCATAAAGACAGTACCATCATTTGTTCAGCGCATTATTTCCAATCTCTTTCGTGATTTGCCTACAGTCTTTGCCTACATTGACGATATCACAATCGGTACCCACACAACTGATCTAGTCGCACACGCCACTCTCGTCAAAGAGGTCATTACTCGACTGAATCAAGCAGGTCTAATTCTACAATCCAAAAAATGCCATTTTCTCCTCACATCTTTAACCTTGCTGGGCTTCCGTCTCAGTTCCAAAGGTCTCCAGATCGACAGCAGTAAAATTTGTAACCTGGATCAACTTCCACCGATTACCAACAACAAAGCTCTTATGCGAGTACTTGGATTGTTTAACTTTTTTCGACGACACATTCCTAATTACGCTTCCATATCCGCTCCATTGGATAAGCTTCGTAGCATTAGTGACAAACGGATCTTTGCACAGACATGGAACTCCACTCACGACTCAGCCTACACCGCTTTAAAATATGCTATCACACATGCTCCGGTCATTTCAGTCATGGATACATCCTTACCCCTGCGTGTCAACACGGATGCTAGTAACTATGCTATTGGTGGCTTCGTATGGCAGCTTGATCGACAGAATATTGTTCGCTTCCTCGGTTTCGCTTCACGGTCCAAAACAGCTAGTGAACGTAACTACAGCGTCAATAAATCTGAATGCCTCGCCATCGCCTACATGTTTCAACGCTATCACTCATGGCTACATTTAACTCCCTTTCTCCTCTTCACGGACCATTACAGCCTCACGTTCCTTCATTCTCAACGATACTGTTCACCTCTACTTCAGAACTGGTACACCACCATCTACTCTAAGAATTTTGAAATCGTCTACATTCGAGGTTCCGAAAATTATCTTGCTGACATGCTCAGTCGTCTATTCGCTTCCCCAGAAGTTGAACGTCAGATGGACAATCACGCTGAAGCTAAACAAGCTAAGTTATTTAACAAACAACAACACACAAAACAGAGGGGGGCGGTAGAGAAATCCACCCAATTTTCTTCTACGTCACACGACGACAACGAATCCAGTCGCATTCTTGTACAACGCGCATCGGAACTAGCCGACCCCATGGTGCCTCCACCTGATCAACGTCGTGCTATCATCGAACGTCACCATCTCAAGGGACATTTTGGCATCAATGCTATCGAATCCGCCATACGCGACGAACATATTAACTGGGTGAACTTACGAAAAGACATCATCGAAGTTGTAGGTGAATGCCTAACTTGCCTTGCCTTCAATTGGTCGAAAACCGGATACCATCCTCCTAAACAGATCTTACCCACTGCGCCAGGCCATCATGCGGTCTGTGATTTAGGTACACTTAATATCACATCCGACGCCGGCAATAACTTCATCATGGTCTATGTCGATCTGTTCACACGTTTCACGATCCTCCGTGCCTTGCCTGACAAGGAAGCATCTACCATCGCTAACGAACTCAAAAGCATCTTTGCCTTATTTGGTGTGGTCAAAGTTCTCCAGACAGATCGCGGCCTCGAGTTTACCAACCAATTAGTAGCTCAAATGACTCAACAATTGGGCATTGACCATCGTCTTAGTTTAGCATACACACCTAACTCCAACGGTACCAATGAAAGTTTCGTACATATCACTAAACGTACTTTAATCAAAAAGCTACAAGGCGCGAAACAGCAATGGGACACTCTCCTTGACGCCACACAGTTAGAGATGAATCTCAAGGTCTCTCGTTTACACCACTCTACACCCTTTGCGGTTATGTTCAATCGACGAGCTAATGATTTCGAAAATTACACTAACGTTGACCCTAACTGGGATAATTCAGTCATTACTCCTGAACTTGTTTCTGCTCAATATCACAAAGTTAACGAATTCCTTATTCCTGCTTTATCAAAACGTATACAATTGACACAGGAAAAAGACAATGCACGATTCCTCAAACATCATCATATCATTCACAAGAAATTTCCTATTGGTCGACAGGTCATGATACGAAATGTCATGAAAACAGGCAAAACCGATCCTAATTTCATCGGTCCTTTCACTATCCGTAACTACACCACCAATGGTTCCTACGTCCTAGTCGATCAAGCCAATAATCTCCTCTCTCGTGACGTCCCTACATCCCATATTAAACTTCTTAAAGTCAATAGTACCACAACGGATTTCGAAGAGGATGATACCGACTTCCAAGAAGTTCAAAGTATTATCAACCACAAAGGAACCAATCCTACTAATTATATGTACCTTGTACGATGGAAAGATCAATCCGACGAGGAAGATACATGGGAACCTGCACACCATTTTCCTGACAAATTACACATCGAACGCTACTGGGCACGTCGTCAGGCCATTACCTCTTCAGGAAATATTCGATTGCCTCAGACTGTAAATATGCGACATATTCCTAATCGTCAAGAACGCTACGATCATAAGCGAGCTCGCAATAATACACATCACACTACCAATGTTGACCATAGCACTTCAACACAAGTCATTCCAATCAATCACACAACTTCTCGCCAAGAAAGGTACAATTTACACAAATCTCGCCGTCATCAACGACGTGCAGCCAACAATAGTTAGACACTCAAAGTGATGTATCTTTTTCCCTTTTTTATTTTTTTTCCCTCTTGGAGGTTTTTAAGGTTTTTCTGATACATCGTATACTTTGCCCCTTCCCCATTTCTTTTTTACACTTTACCACAATTTTTTTTCTTTTTTTATTTTTTTCAAGATTTGTTTCTTGATTTAAACGGAACTTTTTCCCCTTCTCTTCACTTCATGTTATCCCGGCTACAATCATATCTATCGAGTACAACCCTTCTGCATTTCAGGATTACAAAATCGGTTCTCACCATTTTTCTCTCATATCCTTTACAATCAAAAAATGCTGCTCCAATTTGGGGGGAGGTAATGATATATACACACTATATATCCAGCCTATAATCTACTTGACATTTAATAGCAACCCAGCACTGAAACATAAACCATTAACTGATCAAGATATTAATGTCTCCTTCCAATCCACGCTCCCATCTGATCTTCCCGGATAACAATCTATTTCAATCCTTCCTTATAAAAGGATCCCCTTTTCCATTTAATAAAAAGATATCTAGTTTTAGTCTCAAATAATTTAACCGTTTATTTCTTGGAATATTTCACTGTGCATATAAAACTGATGGGTTTTAGTGCGAACGGAAGGAGCATCATTGATAATAGTTAAACTATCTTGGTTACCGGTGTCTGGATGTATTCAAACATCATTGTCATCTGATAATATAGCTGTTTAGGTAGAGTTTTGCATATATGGTACGAGTCAAAAAAGTTAATTCTATTTTCAGTGTTTTGGAACAAAGGTAAAATTAACTCGGAAAATCAAATTTCCGAAGTTAATTCTATTCTATTTAATTCTATTTTGTATTTTGGAAGTCATCCAATTAACTTTATTATTATCTATGATATTCTCAACACAAACGACAGACAGAAAACCTTTCTTTTTCTCATTTTTATTATTATTTACACACAAGCCAAATCAAATTGAAGCATAAAATTCCATATCTTCAAGCTTAGAATGGTATCGATTCTCGTTTTCAGCGGGCCCTTTAGACCCGCTTTGTGTTTTTCAAAAATTAATTAAGATTTTTGCGATACCCCAAGACGTGGTTATACGGCCGATACACTGACTAAAAGGTTTTTGTTTGTAGGGAGACCAGTGGACTCGGGCACATTTACTAAAATTTAACAGTCACGCTAAAAATACTAATTGCACCCATTTAAATCACCCAGGCAAAATTGATTGGATAAAAAAAGGATGACGTTAAAGCTGGCGCTTTTTTTTTAAAAAATACTTGTTCTTTAATCTTTCAATCTTCCACTTTTATTATTTAAAATTAAAAATGAACACTGATAAAGAAATCTTGAAACAACTCGAAAAAAACAAATGCGGAGCGACAGCAAACGTCTGAGACAATCAATCAAGACGCGAATAATGCCAAAGAGAAAAAGAAAGAATTATTGTCCTGACAAAATTGTATTTGGAGGCTTACAAGGAACTTTGGGGGAGAAAGCACTCTTCGTTGGTTATGAAGTGAAACTCGCTGGATGGAAGTCGAAGTGCATTGCCTTCTTATCTCGTAACGTTATTATCGACTTTAGCAACACTACCCAAAACGAAAAAACGCCTTAAGCCCACAGCAAAGTTGTTATGAAATTCCTTTAGCAATCCTACAAATTTTTCTTACGGATATGTAAACCCAGTCGAGTTGTAATAACTTGACCGGGAACCCGTTCAAAGCCATCGGCATTAAACTCACCCAACTGAACAACAGATTCCAAATTAAGGTTAACGGAGTAGAGCGTGACATACAACAACTGAATAGTGGTACGAAAAAGGTAATATAAACAGCATAATATACTGTTTAAAAGATGTGTACAAATTCTAAACAAACCTTTAGATCGAAAACCGTCGTAACGGCGAAACTTTTTTGGGGGATGCTGAGGCTTTCGTGTATGCTAATTCAAATGAAAGGGCTATTAAAATGATCTATGTGCATATGTAGGTTATAATACAATTATATATAAACGATATATTGATATAATGTCTATTCTACATAGCGTGGACCAAATTGTGAACAAGCCAGTATTATTCCATAGTAATTCACAGAAACAATTCTCAGAGACATCTTTTCTTGTTAAATTCTGGGGTCCAGTTATCGAACTTTTCTTTAATGCAAATGAATACTTTATACAATGGTAAGTTACAATCTGTATTATTAGTTAAGATCATGCTTAATAATAATAACCACTTCTGTAGGGGTGATACCATTTCACGACATTTGACTGTGTCAAATTTATATTTTAAGTTGGACTTCAGAATTATTGTTAAGGATTTTGATAATAATGAATTCGACATCACCACTGGAGAGCTAGCTCGTCATTCGTCAACAACTCCATCAAAAATGTACAGAGATTTCTTAAAGTCTGCATTAACTACCAAGGTTCATCTAAATACAATATTAAAACGAATGCCGTATATCCCCGAAAACCAAATACAAAACGTTGTTATCCCTATGGTTCAAATAATGGGATTATGTTGTGTTGTATATGGAATGAATATAATCGACAAAAAAGTATATACTTTACAGGAGTTAAGTTCGTTTAATTATCCATGTTCGCTCCGTGAATTGAAAAAAGGTGGCATAAATACAATGATAAATGGATTTTGCTTAATAGAAGTAAGTGGACCAGTTGGAATATGATGATTTTAGAAGAAATGTTTAATTTTTCCCCCCTTCTTATTCTATCATTTTTTATTTGACTTTGTTAGTCAATGATTAAAAACATCGAAGAAATGGTCATTGAATGTAGCAAAACACCTAGTGTCGCGATGTCCAGTATTAGGAAAGGAAGAAAATGAACACGATGGTTAAAACGACCGACATTGATGACTATATTTCTACTGCAATAGCTTGTCCTGATTCGGAGAATGAAGATGAATCAGAGGATGAACATTCAGATGATGAAGACCAAGACGAACATCCAAATGACGAAAGTCAAGAAGATCAAGAAGATGAAGAGTAGCTCGGAATAACAATCATATTGCGTGGCACACCCTGATATATTATTATGTTACTGCCCCCTTCATATCAACACAAGGAATTTAGGAAGCGGGCAAGATATACAGATATGATTTTGGGTGCAAGGTTTTACAGGGAGTTTGGTAGCGGACAAGATATACTGATATTAGATTCTAGTACAAGGTTTCACAAGGGTTTTAAATCAAGGCATAATCTAGGACATGAAGAAATGAGTTCATGACATAGGTAGTGTTGGTTAAATGTACAGCATAAGGAAAATAGAAGGAGTATACGTTGCAACCATGGTGGAAGATATTTACCTCCCTAGAAAGAAGAAAGAAATCAAAGACATCCCAAAAACAATAAATACTTTGTTTATGTTCAAGGTAAGATAATCTCAATAATTCTTTAACCCACAAAACTCATCCTTTTCCAACTTCAAGGAATCCCTTGGAAAAACTGGCTGCTGAATCTACAGAAGGTTTTGAAGTGAAACTGTCAGTTTCGAGATTGAAAGGTGTACCAAGATCGAGAGTACATCAAGTGGAGGCTCCCTGTAAAACCCCTCGTGTTACGTTCTCGCCAAAGCCAAAAAAGAGAAAGTTGAATCCAAATACCCATTGAAAATACCTATAAATGTACAACTTTTCTCAAAGTAAAAAATAAAATTCATTTCATTCAAATTTCTATTTTTCCACCAGTTTTCTTTCTGCTGTCATCAAGTAACTATGTATATTCTCATTAGAGTGTTAACTTTTTATTATTATCCAGATGAATTCCAACTTGTTCTGTCCGGAGAGACTAATCCTGGAAAGTTGTATGAGCCTGACGTGTTGTCTAGCTGCCTTACCTTCTGTTTGGACAATAACTCAAGATGCTTCTTTATCCAGATTGTGGTACCAAAGATGTCGCAATCAAAGGCTATGATGCTGAACCCGTGGCGCGTAGAATCATTTGTGAAGGGAGGTACTTTTTTTTTTGTTTTTTTGTTTTGGGTTAAAACGGTGGCGGCAAATTTATTAAAATTTGTAGGATATAAATTGATGCACAGACTCATCATCAAGAAACCTTTCAAGGTACCGAAGAGAAGGTTATTAGACAGCTTCCTCCTAATGTCCACATGTTGTTTTCAGCAATATTGTCTCATAATTCTGTATTCGAAAAGCTCATGGATACCATTCGACGTGGTATGCAGAATTTAAATGGCCTTGTCAGAATTCAAAAGCCCTATCAGAAATACATCACAAACGTGAGGATGAATACCAACAGATGTACCTGATTTCTGTAAGTGAGTACCAAAGTAAAAGAACGCCATTCCAGCCACATATTAGTCCGTTTAATCGATTTTCTTCTTTCAATGATCTTATGAAGTATCCTGGAAAGGTCCCTTCTGCTCCTTACATTATCTTTATGCATATGCAAAACATGAAAACATTTATTCCGTTGGTAGACTTTCTGGAACATCGTCAAAGGTGGTCCATAATCACAGGTTCAACAAAGAATACTGTTTTGCATCAATAATTTTCCTACCTTTACTGGTTTATACACCGTCACCAACAAATACGATGTAATCTGCATGATGGTATTGACGTCAACAAAAACTTTGGATTTATTAAAGGGACCATTTGAAAGAATGCTTAGACTACTCAGAGAAAATAATCATCAGAAACTAACTGTGTACTTCACAGATACTGTTGATGCTGATAGAAATTTCTTGAAATCGGAATTACTCTCATTAAAAGAGAACGTTCAAACGTACCGAATACCATAACAGTGTAGTGGAAAGATCATCCAGCCTTCCCTGCCTTAATGACTTGTTTTTGTCTGTTACTGTTTATTTATGTAAAGATCCTACGACTATAAATAACATATGTTATGAACCATGATGGTTATTGATCGCAGAAGTGGCTACAGGGTATATATTTGTTTTGATGTGTAATGGACATGCATGGCAAGTGGCCCGTCAACTAAATCAAAGCAATTGGTATTTGCCAAATCGATTATTAAAACTATATGTACGTAATACAACTAAGTCGGTGTATATGATCAAGAGATCTATTCCCTGTAGGACTGAAGGAATTGTTAGCTTCTGAAACATTTGTCAAGATTGGTCGCAGCGTAGAGGTCCATCAAAAAGTGAATAGATAAAGACTATGGTGTTGGATACAATGGGGGGTTTTGGATCATCATCGCATATGCTTACTGATATCGATCGGAAAAGACATCTCTTTGGCAGTTCTAACTGGTATAGTTCTCAGTTGCACTCTTCCCTAAAGGAGATGTCAGAACAAGCAAATGGGATACCATTACGCTATCTGCTGAGCATATCAAATACACTGCTTTGGATGCATAGGTCTCTTTGGAGATATTTAAAGAAATGAATAACCTCCCTCATGTCAATCAAAAAGTCACGCCCTTTAAATACGGGAGCTCACGTTGCTATCTACACCAGCTCTACTTGTTCCGGTAGCCTAATGTGCATGTGTTTTTGTCGTTGATCATGAGGATAATAATGATTTCTTTTTTAAGAAGTCATCAATTTGAGACGCATGCCAATTTCAAATATCGTAATCAGAAGAAAATGCATCATTGTTATTACCTCCGTTGTCAAAAGAAACATGATTGCAGAATACCACAACTCCATACGTTTACGAAATGCTTAAAAGAAATGTTGCTTGGTAACCTTGAAAAAAATAGACGTCTGCGGATAAGGGTAGTAACGCTCAATTTCTTTTGGTAGTTGAAGCATCAAACTTGAGAGTGACAGCATCGGTTGATGCCCTGAAGCAATATCCTCTTCTATAGAGAGAGAAGATATAAAATCATAGAGAGAGAGTTGATTGGGTGAAAATTAAACTACAGTCATGAAAATAAATAAAAAAAGCGCATGCTTTTTTTTTTCGGTGCCTGTCAATGAGTTTATTTTTTTTAAACAACCGAATGAATTTCCAAGCTCCACGTTTTTTTGTTGAACCCCATAATTTTTTTTTTTTTATAAAATCACAAGCAAAAAAAAAAAAACCTTAAAAAAAAAAATTAAGGGACCTTTTTCTTTTTTTTACAAATACAAAAAAAAAAAAAAATGTTGGGTGAACAAACTACTGCTAATAATGTCTGGGATAGCAAGACACAAACTTTTCATGGTGGTCAAGAACATCGTTTTATTAATAACTTTGTCGAGGATTTCAGTGTGACAACAAACTATCTCGGTACACCTCCTCAAGCCCTCGCCGCTGCCAAACAAGCCGTAAGTCTCTTTTTTTTCATTGACATGATGACAGCTCTTTAAAAAAAAAAAATTTTACTAGATGGGCGAGATTCATCATTACCCTGCTGCTAATCAAGAACCTGCAAAGACACACTTGGCTGAATTTTTATGGGGTAAAGACTATGCTGAACAACACGGTCGTTTATTGATGGGTAACGGTGCCTCCGAGTTGATTGATTTGGTCGTCCGAAAAGCTCTTTTGGCTGCTGCCGAAAGAGGTCAAACCCAGCCTACTTGGAAGGGCAGTCCATGGAATGTTCAAGTGAGTCTACTATTATATATATAAAAAAAAGAGAGAAAGAGAGACTAAACGTTATATTTTGTGGATGACTAGTACAGAGAGTATCAACGTAGTGCTGAAACCAACGGATTCAAGATTTTGGAACCTTCCAACCCCGAAAGAGCTGACATGGTCTGTATTGTCAATCCTTGTAACCCTACAGGTGATTACTTTTCTGTCGAACCCTTGAAGGAATGGATCAAGAACAATGTCAAGTCTGGCGGCAGTGTGATTGTTGGTATGTAGGACAAAAAAAGATGGGAAAAAGGGGGGGGTCGATGTTTAAACCTAAAAGACTTACACCGGATATTTTATTGAAAATAGATGAGTCGATGCAACCTTGGCATTCTGCTGAATTCAGAAAGGATTCGTTAATTTCTGAACACGCTTATGCTAGAGATATGTGGACTGAAGAACAGGTATCTGTGCATGTGATGCACTCATGGACAAAGATCTGGTCCTGTACTGGACTCCGTATTGGATCTGTGATCTGTCCTACCACAGCACACTGTGAAGCCTTAAGAAAGATCCAAGTCCCCTGGTCCGTCAATGGTCCTGCCCTTGCCTTTGTTGAAGCCGTTGTGAACGAGAAAGATTACTTAAATGAGACCTGGGAAAACACCACACGTTTAAGAGCTCACTTGATTGACCAATTAAGTAGTCTGGAACAATCAAAGGAGTGGGTTTATCACGGTAAGAAATTCTTGAGTTGGGTCTGGTTAGATATGAAGTCAGAGGCCATGGCAGAAAGAGCCATTGATTTAGCTCGTGCTGCTGGTGTTCCCGTTCGAAGTGGTAAACCTGGTTACAAGTGTAATTCATTCATTCGTGTTGCTGTGCGTAAAGAAGCAGAGGTTGCTGTATTAATCCAAGCCTGGAAGTCCTTGTAAATAAATATAAAAGAAATAAATTGCATAATTACACACATACACATATTTTGGCAACAAGAATTTCTATTTACGGCCTATAAAATAATAATTGTTTAGTCCAGGAGAAAGGAATGGTCTAGGGACTCATATTTCATTTATTATTTTAGGCAACAAGCAACTAGCTTTTTTTTTCTGTATATAATGCTTATATATTTATATCTTTTCTTCTTCTTTTAAAATTTAAAATACAAATGCTTATTCTTCTTCGTCTGGCTTCTATTCTATTGTTTCTCAGCTTTATTGCATGCTCACCCCTCGAAACACGAGGTTTAGGTTCGAGACTGTTGAGAGGTGTGAAGGCTACTTTATTTTCTGGTGCGGGCACATTTTATGAAGTAGGTTCAGGATCGTGCGGTGAATATGATACCGATGATATGTTGGTGGTGGCTGTCAATAAGGCTCAAATGCAAAATGGTAACAAAAAAAAAAAAAAAAAAAAAAAAAAAAACTATTGTATATCATGATTTTTACTTACTTTTCAAACCACTAGGACCGAATCCAAATAACAATCCTCTTTGTCAAAATACGGTGTTCATTACGGGAAACAGAGGTAGCACCTCTGCTCGGGTAGTTGATACATGTCCTGCTTGCCCACAAGGTAATTTTTTATTTCCTCGCATCATAAATTCATTTCACTAACAAAAGCATTTTGATTTTTTTTGCAGGTGCACTTGACATGTCGCCCAAAGGTAAAAAAAGAAAAAAAATTCAAAAAAAAAACAATAGAAAATAACGCTCACTTTTTCATGTAGTATTTGAACTTGTATGTGGTTCTTTATCTGCTGGTGTTTGTACTATAAGCTGGAGCTTTACATAAAAAAAAAATCTGAATCCCATTTGTTTGTTCCTTGAAATTCATTTCCTCGCACAATTTTCATAGGCTTAAACCCCTTTTTATTTTTATAAGAAACACACAACAGACTCACGATACAATTGCCTAACAACCCGCACAGACACAGACATTCAGAGTTTCACAATTTGATATATATGCCTAGAATAATTTTCAGTTTTTTTTTTTTATTTCTCCTCTTTCTCTTTTCTTTTCTGCAATAAACAAAAAAAAAATGTCTAAAAGTACAACCAAAAACTCTACTGTGCTTGTACCCACGATTTGGAAACGATTTCCTCATCGTATTAAAGGCCTTTTAAAACGAGATATTTTCTATTCAAATAGTCCACCACCAACGCCTCCTCAACAGCCACAACAGGTCATGAAGAAGAACTACAATAAATCCTCTTCCTTGATCTACCGTATCTTCCCCACCAAGTCCTCCAAGAAAAAAAAGGACAGCAAATTCATCCAGCATAATCAATGGGTGAACAATCACGATTGTCATGTGGAGCTGGATATCTGTCATGAAGTACCTTTACGTGCCAACCTCATGTCGCTCTTCCATTCCCAAGATGATTGGTCCTTACCCGAACGCTTTGATGGTGTCAGTCGGGTTTATATTGGCACCTTGGGTAAAATACGTCTCCTCAGTCTCTACTCTATGGAACAACAAATTGCCATTCATCACCTCTTATCCGGCATTCAATCCAATTCTTCCCGTAAGAAATTACTTACCCTTCGTGCAGGTCATGAAGGCTCCTTTCAACGCGATTTTCATACATTGCTTTCTGGTAAAGTACATGAATCCTCTCTATTAAATAGAAAACCACGTCGTACGCGTTATATCTTTATGTTGCTCAGTACACCTACTTCTCATATTGTTGATAAATTACATCCTGTCTCGGATGCTATTGCTAAATTACGTAGACCTTATGCCGAAACTATTTGCGTCTTCAATTCATCCGAGCTGGCTTCCCCTCCTCCTCCTCCTCTTATTCCTCCTGTGTGTGTCGAACAAGAGACTTACAAGTGTGTCTCACCAGACTATCTCTTGGATCCTGCTTCTCTACGTGGAGGTCGTCTGTCTCCAAACTATAGCAGAGCTGCAAATAGAGAAAACGATCATTACAACCAAGATGCTTCATCCATTGCTCCATTCATGGCTAAAATACAGATCCAAACCAATTAAACTTTCATCATAATAAACCCACTCTATGAATACTTTTTCTCTCTTTCTCCTCATCAATTAAGCCCTGCCTTGGAGGTGCTTGAGGCAATAGTAAGAACATGTCAAAACGACGTGTTTCCTTACCTTTTTTTTTACTGTGATCGGACATTGAATATGCAGGCTTAAATACTTGAAATTGGTCAAATGATCGAACTCCAATTTACAAATAATTTGGCCAGCAATTATAAATATTCTTTATCCAAAAATTTAGGGAATACATTGATAAATTATTGGGTGGGGTCTTTAAGTGAGTAATGATGAAGTATTTAATCAATAATTCTAGTAAGTAAGACAGAGAACTTAATGACATCGAACTTAGTATCTTTATTAAAAGTTAAAAAAAAAAAAATGATATATACAATGATCTACAGTAATGCATTGGTCTTTTATTGTCTAAAACTGCATCTATTATGCTATACCTTCTAGAGTAATAATAATTCTTGAATATCCTTAATAATATTAAGGCTATTTTGTAATAGTGCCATTTAACAAATTATTAGATAGAGACAATATTAACTTGTGTTTGCAACTACATAAAATAAAAAAATTATTTTTATTTACTCTAATACAGGCAGAATAAGACAGCGGTGGTATCATACTCTTTTTATTTATATACAAGGGATAACAATTTTGGCCCAAAAGAAAACCTTAAAGTGAAGTCGATTCATCCAGTATTTATGTTCGTCTTCAAATTTCATCAAACCTCCAGAAATAATTGATATTCTATCCAGCAACAGCATGTCCAACCCAGTATAATTATCATGAACGAACTTCTTTGAAGAGGTATCACAATTTGTAGACCCGAGATCAATAAACGCATTCTTAAGAAGCTTGTAATGTAGATTGGATTTATTCGCGTCTTGATTGTTCATAATAAAGGTATTCAAAGAGGTCGTACATATATTAAAAAAGGGATTGGCTAGAATCCTACCAAAATTCCAATATAAACTTTCAAAGCCTATTGCACTACAGAGCATCAAGGCGTTTTCAAGAGACAAACATTATTAAGCGAGCCGCTTCTAATATCCGATTGTGTAAAGAAGAGAATAAAAGAAAGTCTTGCGTCAATGGCATGGGAAGCCAACCGAGCTCTGCAAAATAATCTGACCAGATACATACATCACAACAAAGTCCCAAAGATGTAAGTAGCCGTGTGTCAATCCTTCTTCATATCGGAACCAAGTCAGGTCTCTCCATCTAGATGCCTCTTATTTTGATGAACATTATTATGCGAGCCGCTTCTAATATCCGATTGTATAAAGAAGAGGATAAAAGAAAGTCTTGCGTCAATGGCATGGGAAGCCAACCAAGCCCTGCAAAATAATCTGACCAGATACATACATCACAACAAAGTCCCAAAGATGTAAGTAGCCGTGTGTCAATCCTTCTTCATATCGGAACCAAGTCAGATCAAAATAAGGAACTGTAGTGCTAATAGGGTATGCGGTAATTCAGAGCTGATAAACCATAATTACTGTGTATTCATTTAATGACTAAAAAGTGGATCGAGGAGTAGAGTTAAAAACAAAAGTAAGAGTGAGTTGGATACTTTGACCTGGCATTTATATATTTGCTGATTAGTTCATTCTATAAAGGAATAAACAGCTTTGGAGCAAATCAATCCACAATAAGTACTTACAAGGAAACTCCAGTAGGGCATTTGTTAATTTAGCTTCAAAACAGTAGCGCTATAGTGAGCATCTAAACATGACAATAATTAAAAGACAAAGGAAGGAGATGCAAGATTTTTTTCAATAAAGAAATAATACCTCAAATCGGATATTTAAAAATCAAATACTTCACCCTTTGCTGACGTTCATTTATTATCAGTCATTCATTTTATTCACCAAATAAATAATCTCTTGTGAGAGCTTATAACATTATGGATTATTCATACAGATTAAAACGCAACAACCCTTCATTTAAATATTTTTCTGATCATCCTATTACCGAATGGTCTTTCGCAAATTATATCCGTTCATTAGATGACGGCAAAATAAAACCAACAAACTTTACAAAAATCAGAAATAACTACATATCCAATATGAAGAACTCTTCAAAAGGGAAACGCTTTTCTTAGGGACAGCCAATTTTTCCTTAGGGACAGCCAAAGTGCACGTAGTCGCAACGTAAGATCTATGGTTTGGATGTTCTGTAGACATGGGAACAAGGATATACAATCAAAAACAATGTAAAAATTACAAATAAATGTACATCAAACGATTTATACTTATTTTGACAATTCTATTATCACTCTTTCGCCTTTGAGCTCGTTTGAATTAAATCTTACGCAGAAATATTAATGTTAAGTCCAAACGAGAAGCTGAAAGTTAGCTTTAAAATACATATACTGGTTTAAACTATGTTAGTTGTGATAAATGTGTATGTATTTTAAGTTATTAAGTTCTATTGACCTCTTGATATCTATTAAAGTATCATAATCCCAACATTACGACTACGTGCACCCTGGCTGTCCCTAAGAAAATTTGGCTGTCCCTAAGAGACCCGAAAGGGAAATGTCTAGAACTCCGTATTTTTTTCAAACGTATTTTTTAGAATCACGCGATGGTCTACACGTCGATTGACATGCCATATCATCTAAACTTCATGGGATGATCGATTTCTGTTTTCCATAAAATCTGCTTCACTGTCATTACAAGCTACTATTGGAACGCAGATAGACAATTACCAAGCTCTGACTTGCTTGGGAGGTTTTTGCAAGTGTTTCTATTTTAAGTAAAGGCTCAAACATTATGGATGATAAAATAGACAAATGAAATCATCTTGACATAAGCTTGTTTATCAGCCTACAAATAAAGCTGGTTCACACACTTTATTATTCTTCTTTTCTTTTCCCTTAACATACTTCTTCTATTTTATGAAAGTAACCGATCACGTAGAAAGGTTTGTTTAGTAGTGACTCTTGTTTCTTTGAAAAGACAACTAAATTGCAAAAGATATATTGATATTGCGGCTGCGGCTAGTCTTTGCTATAGGAGGGGGACCTCCTATGCAGGATTCTTGAGTTCTTGAAACTCACGGACTGTGAATAGCTGTGATTGCACAATAAATAGTTGTAATCATACTGGCATGCTGGTCTTCTGGCCAGAATTTCTGTAAGTAGTATAAAAAAAATACGTTTGAAAAAAATACGGAGATCTAGACATTTCCCTTCAAAAGTCAAATGATGTGCCGTATTTCGTGAAGGAAGAAATTCAACGCTTATTATCCTTAGAAGAATTCCTTGAAGAAGAGTCTTCAAGCTTCAATGTTAACATTACAGCACATGATTCTAACTTCTACAATGCTTCTGTCTCAGGTACTCTCAATTTTAACCAGCAACAGCAATCAGCAGAAAGTACTCAGCAGCAAAAAGATATCGAGCCTGCACTAAACATGGAGCATTCTGCTTCTGGTCAGAGCGATGAAGAGGACAAAATTCCCTCCGATTTATCAATCGACCACCATCCAAACCGCACTTGCGAGTACAGTCTTGAAATCATAGGTTCAGATGAGGACAAAGAAGAAATAAACTCAACCAGACGTGTGAAGACTTCAAACGAGTCAAAATGAATGTTAAATGATATCTGTATCTCTGATTTATGCCTTCGTTTTAAGGAGGCATCCTTTAAATTGGCTAAGGGCACTGATTCTTCACGACTATCTGATATTCGTCTTCTCAGCTTAAATGATATTTATATATTTGATAGAAACTTTTCGTCTTCTGTTAGCAAATATTTTTCGACTCAAGTCCACACCATGCTCAAACCGACTTTATCTTTCGATGCTTATCTCCCTACAAGAGGATTAAATTGTTACAACTGGTGCATGGATTTCGAAGTATCACCTCCCGCTGATTATATCACTTCAATAACCCTGTGTGCTGATTTACGTAAAGAAGCTTGTGACAATAAAAATTTCTTGGATATACACACTGCCCAGATTTTGACTCAGATCCTCCCAGTTCTAGTCAATGGCCCTCCTGAAGACTCAACTGAAGATAGTTACGTACACTATTACCTCTCACCACTACTGTCATCGGTCTTTTTAACTGATCCTCTGTTAAAGATGAAATGGGCTAACGGCAAGTTAATGAACGATCAAAGTCAATACAAACCTGATTTTCTGGTATACAATATTTTCGGCAGCAGAAGGTGTGTAATTATTATTGCAGAGTTCAAACCTACCGAGAAAAACTCGTATGTTGAATCAGACCTGGTGAAGCTTGCCAAACAAATGAAGGTGACCCTAAACGAATTGATTATGAATGGTGTTTCAAAACCTGAAGTCTGCGGTGTTCACTGTGAAGGTGAAAATGTGCATACGTATATCATGGACCTCCCCTCTCCCAAGCTCTACAGATTAGTCAATGCTTCTAGAATTAAACTCTTCAAACGATTGGATCAAATCTCGCTTCTCCCAAATGTAATTACACATCACTGTTATGTTTGAAGAATGTTGCCTTAAAGACTGCTACCAAGGTTGAAACTGCTTCGTTGTATAGTTACAACAATTTAAAACGTCCAGCTCCAAATCCACCTGAAGAATGGTTATCAAGTGTAAAGGCTGTCCTCTCCCGTTTACCCAAAAAACAAAAGAAATAAACCCTATATCCTATGATATTATATCAATTGATAATAAACTCATGTGTGTCTTAAGTAGCTAGTAAACTTCCTGTGAACTCTTAGAGACCCCACCCAATAATTTATCAATGTATTCCCTAAATTTTTGGATAAAGAATATTTATAATTGCTTATTAGAAGCTGGCCAAATTATTTGTAAATTGGAGTTCGATCATTTGACCAAGTTAGTCCCATTTTTCTGGGAAACTTAATCTCACATAAGTCTTCAAAATAATTCAAAAAGTCGGGCAAAGTTTTCAAAAATTCGGTACGTTGAATGTGGGAAGCACTGTACAAAAAAAAAAAAAAAAAATCGTCTAAAAAGATATCACACTCGTCTAAAAAAAAGGACTCGTCTAAAAATATATCGCACTTGTCTAAATTACTTGGGCGAATTCGTCCAGAAAATAAATGAGATCGTCCAAAAATAAATAAAAAAAATTGCGAAATCGTCTCAATTTCAAGTAAAAATACTGTATATACTTTAAATTCAGACGAATGAAATGCTCGTTTGAAGGTTCCCTGAAGAGGCTTAAAAGAAACCAACTCAAATGTAAGAGCCGTCGTTTATATTGATAGTAGACAAAGCTACCCTTGCTTAGAACTAGTCAAAGCTATTATATATGAAAAGTGTTTCTACATGGAGCTTATTGGCTGAAATTTTTCTATAGAGTTCGGATTATTACAAGTAATGGTAAAAACTGATATTATTATATGGTATGTGTGTATGTTGTAACACAGTATATATTACAATTATTATTATTACAATAATAATAGCTTTTATATGAATACTTTGCTTCCTAGCGGGTTTTTGTGTTAAATGGTAATCGTAATCAAATACTCTTTCTACTGTAAAGGTATTCCTCTATAAGACAAAGTACACAAAAAAAAACCTGATGTGATAGGCCATAGTAGCTGATGGCTGAGACATTACATTTTATAAATGATATATAAGCCATTCTACTGATTTATTGATTACTTAAAAAAAATAATCTTTCTCACTCTTTTTCCTCTTCTTTTGACCCCAAAATGAAAAGACGTTTTACATCATCAAATTCAAAAAAACCTTCTAAAAGCCCAAAGTTTAAAGAAAGTAAAATATCCAATAATTTGTTAGTATTTCTTTAATACTTATCATGATTCTGGTGTATAGATGTTATAGTAAAGCGAGATACAACAGAGCATAGTACTTTAGAGCAAGATACTGAAAAGCAAGACACTGTAGAGCAATACACTGTAGAGCAGGATATATTAGAGGACGATTGTGCTTCTTCTTCCTCAAGTAAACCAAAACATTCAAAAAAGTAGAGGAAAAGATCAACAAGAAAACGCCCTTTTAAAGTTTAAAGAAGAGCAAAAAACTGGCAAGGCAGTACAATGCCCCTCGTGCAAAACGAAAACGCACGCACGGTCGACAAGTAAATTGTGTCCAAACAAGAAGATGAAAGAGTCTGTACGTATCCATGATGAGAGAGTTGAACACTTTGTGATCAAGGCTTCCTTATCCAATATTTGTAAAAATGAACAATTTTTTGCAAATATAAGAAAATTGTCGCGTTATACAACCAAATTTCTATTCGTGGGCTCCCTTTTTGCCAACTTTGTCTTTATCAAACTACTTGGGGAAAATAAATTAATCCCAGTTATTGAACAAAGCTTGTTTACAAACATGTTCGCTCTATTGACTGGGAATGGAAAAAGAGCACCAGATTATCTCAAGGAGTACTATACTCTTTTCTGCGAGTCTACAACTCTTGACTACGAGTCGTTAAAAAGCCAAGGCTACTCTAGCATTCTCTCTATTGCTGGAAAACAGTACGAAGTTTTGGTCAGGAACCAGATGCACGAGACGTATGAAAAAAAATCAATCATATATTTTCTGACGACAATGTCTGACAAAATTTCAGACAATTTTTGCAAGGATCTTTCTATTGCTTCACGGAAATCATTGGCGTACTTCATCTACAAACAGAAGCAGGGCTTAAACCCAACCTGGCCATCATCTGTCCCGCACAATAACTTCTATTTACAAATCGTTAGAAACATTGCGAGTATGTGGTCCGAATACCAAACTGTTAAGTGCGATTCCAATACCCTCTACTCCAAGTCACACCTTTTTTTAAAGTGCTTTAATTTACTATCACAAGAAGCCATACAAAATTTATGTAATGGAGGAAAAATCGTCAAAATTTGCTTCCAAAGGGTACGTTTACCGAAAGCTTAAAGAACTTCCGTTTACTGCTGCTATGAACAGAAGAAAAGTTTCATCTTTGTTGGAAGAAACACTGCAATATAAAAAGGATCAATTATTTCATAGCAGCAATCGATCAACTCCAGCAAAGCATTTGTTCAGGGAAGAAAGCTTTCACAACTTTCTCATCAGCAGGTTTTAATAGTTCAAAAGTTTATTAACACGATTAAATCAAGGATCCAAGATAGAACATTTACTCCAGCCAAATACACAGACAAAAGAGGTTACTGTTTTTTTTTTTTTTTTCGATTGCACCCATATATTCATTTCGTACCAAATCCATACAGATCGATGCTCGAGCTTTTTGGAGATTGGTGAAGCAATCTGAAATACCAAACTACCCGAAACAGACGAAAAGTGAATCTGATTTGAATGATTTTTACTATCAGCTATTCAATTTCCCAAAACTAGGGTTCCGTACCAGAGAAAGTCTAACGACAGGAAAAAAAACATTCAAGTAAGCTACTCAATATTGTAATAGTACATCAACCAGTCTCTAACTAAAAATTAACAACAAGCAACGTAATTACTACTGATGGCTGTTCTGTTTCATTCTTCTTCACACGGTTAGCAAAGAGGTCAATAGCCTTAAAGAATAACCCCACAGACTTTGTATCAGACATTTGAAATGGCTGTACTGTTTGGGGACAGTCGATTCAGGAATTATAGACTTGGTTACAGCCGTCGACTCTTCTGGGGATAAGGAGCGGCAAAGGACGACTAGTCTCGACAAATATTATCATCTTTGTGGATATAACCAGGCTAGTTTTCAAAGATATAAACATCAAAGCCAAAACCAATCAGTTTTTCAGCTGATCAGTCAATTACCTTCCTTAAAAACCACAAATTCTTATGACTTCTTACTCGCATCTAAAAAGCGGTTTGTCGACTATGATATCTTATGCAACTATTATAACAATGATAACTGGTAATCCAAATCACTATGTTTTATGAACTAGTGTAGTACTACTTGTATGATATAGGTCATCAAAGTTAAAATTCAAAACTTATATAAAGAAACAAAAAGCAATAGAAGAAATTTGTAAACGTTTGGTTGTTGGAAGCAAAAAGTACGGCCGAGGAAGTAAAACAGGGGTCAAGACTGCTACGGAGAACACCTCCATTCATTATCCCAATGCACCTCAAGACGCAGAAAAACCGCCTACAAGTACTGTAATTGCATTTGGAGACGCTACTTTTTACAGTAGTATGAGGGGAAACAAAGCCGCGACTGTGAAGCTAATAAAAAAGAAGCTTCGGCAAATGCGTGAAGGTACCATCCAAATTTGTTTTATTGATGAATATTTGACAAGCCAAGTGTGCAATGTCTGCAAGAACAGGACCTTAGAGAATGTCTCGACAGCAAAATCAAAACGAAGAGTACATTCGGTATTGAAGTGTAACAATAACAGTTGTAATATCGTTTGGAATCGTGATTTCAATGCTGCGAAAAATATCTTTGATATTTTCATGTTTGCCGCTCACAATAACAACCGAAGACCTCCAGCATTTGAGCGTCCAGAGCAAGCGACATAATTTTTATTTATCACAATTATGTATGATTGATATAACTCCTTCACACACCTTACAGGTAAGCTGCAACATGTTGTTAATTTAAAAGATGTACTAAATCTTTATTTTCTAACACCCATCGACCATAAATTTATACACCTTTCGTTACGTTTTGGGTAAGACATCCAGAATTATAATAATACAATTGTCTTGACTAATTTTCTCTTTCACTAAAAGTTCTTCTTCATCCAAAAAAGGAAAGCTAAACGTCTGAAATTTAATTTTGATTCGTCTGAAAAAAAAACACTCGAACGTCTGAATTTAAAGTGCAAAAACTGTATAAATGTTTACTGTTGCACACACACGCACGGGAAAGGGGTGTATAAACATAAGGGAAAAAAAAAAGCTTGTTTATGGTTCAATCTTAAAAAACACTTTGTTATTGAAAATTTAAATTGGCCGGGACTTATTTATACAAACCCTTTTTATTTTTCTCTCTTTCTCTCTCTCTCTCTCTCTTTCTTTCATAAAAGCACTCACATCATGATGGACAACCGAAAATATCAGCTCTTCAAGACAGAAATGTGTAGAAATTGGCAAGAGATGGGTGAATGCAGGTAAAATAAGCTGATACACGGATAAGAAGAGAGAGAGAAAGAACTAATAACAAATAAATAAAAAAAGGTACTCCAAAAAGTGTCGATTTGCGCATGGGATAGATGAACTTCGAGGTATCCAACGTCATGCTCGTTACAAGACGGAAATCTGCAAGACATTTCATCTTACGGGTACTTGTCTTTACGGTGTAAGATGTACGTTTGTTCATGATGAGGTGCACGTGCCAACTATCGGATCACCCAAGATGATGAAAACCGCTCTCCCTGTCTTTTCAGAAGAGGATTTGGCTTGGTCCTTCTTTCCAAACACAAGCACTATTTGGTCAGATAGACGCTATTCATCTAGTTCTTCTTCCTCTTCCTCTTCTGTACCATTTATTTAAATTATATATATTAACCCCCCTTTTCACTCTCTCTCTCTCTCTCTCTCAAAAAAAATCCCCCCCCCATTTACATATATTTAATTGCTTTATATATTTCAAACTTGCAGCAAAGAGATTTCAAATAAAACATTGGAATAAACACCTTCCTCCTCCCTTCTCCTTATAAAAGAAGAAAAATCCCCTTTTTAATTTTAATTGTTCAAGCTGGAATTACAAATGGTCCAATTATCTAAACACCCCCTTTCTTTATGTAAAAGGGAGTCACTCAAGCGCACAGACCATGACTACTACGACTAATACCATGACTACTGCTGATACTAATTTTATTATTACTTTGTGTGTGTGTGTGTGTGTGTGTGTGTGCATAAAAAAAAAAAAGAAAGAAAAAAAAACCTTATTGATTCAATTTATAATGATGATCATGAAGATTCTTTTGAATCGAGCTCCACATAAAATTCAATCGTCGACGTTTAGCATTACAATCTCTCAACTGTGACTCAGCTTCTCGCCACGATGTTTCATCCCCATTCTTCAAATACTGATCCTTCACCATATCATGATACTCCAACTTGAGATCGAAATAAGAGCGCTTACTCCCCGTAGGTGGTGCTGTGTGTTGCAAGGCCTTGATGTATTCGGGATATTTGCTCTTGAAATTCATCTTGCTGTTTTGATACTCCTTTTGATGCTTTAAAAACTTGTTACAGTACTTGTCAAAGACCGCTTGCGTTGGAATCTCACTCAATTCTACAGGCTCACTATTGGATACACGGTTTTGCGTATACTCCTGGTTCGCTTTCGTTCGTGTATTCGATGTGATTCCATACCCTTGTCGACTCTCTGTTTTAACTAATTATTTTTTTTTTATTCTTATTTGTCAGTCATCTCCTTCCCATGATTCATCTTTTTTTTTTTTTTTTTTTTTCTGTTTACCTTCTTTTCTTTTTTGGACATTGGGTGTCACATACGCCATGGATGGTACAAAGCATGAGACAGGTCGAGGTGGAGGTGGTGGTAATGCCGGTGGTGCTGTTGTAGGTGGTGGTGGTGGCGGAGAAGTGGCATAGATCTGTGATGTCTTTGTGCTCACCTTCCTATTAGAAGAGCTAGGTTTCAATAATCCATTTCTAGCCGATGCCTTTGTCTTTAAGGGTGATCGAACCAAGGGAGTGACGGATGTGGCGGATGAGGAAGAGGTGGATGAGGATAATGTTTGTTGTACCGGTAACGATGGTGGTAACGATGGTAGAGGGGGTAATGAAGTGGGTGATGTTGTGATGGGAGATGGAGTCGTGCGTGCAACGGATTCAACGGCTGCTACTGCTGCTGGATATCCATGTGATTTTCCTTTCCCTTTGATATCGACGACACCGACGGACTTCTTTTCTTCTTTCTTTAAAGAAGATTTCTTTTTGGTAGTGGTGGTGGTGGTGGTGGCATAACGATGGTCAGAAGAATGGGGCCTGGATCGATGATCGGATGTCAAATTAGCTCGTTCAATGGCGTCTGGAGGTAATTGAAGAATGTCGTAGGCTTCTTTGGCGTTGGCATACACGGTATCCTTTTCGGTTTCGGTGTACAAGGGCCAATCCCAAATACGCACATTTTTGTACAATTGAGGTTTTAAACAATACTTTTTCTTTTGGGAAGATTGATCCGGAATACAGATGCCGACCTAAATTTTTAATTACCCAAAAAAAAAGGTGTGAGATTTAATATAAAAAAAATGAGAGAGAGAGAGGCTCACGTCGTCCACGATTCGTTTGATATCCCACGAGGTAGTTTCTAGTGCTTTAGCCATGGTGGTGATTTGATATGGCTTGATGGCTAAGAGCTGAATGACTCTGTCAGAGAGTTTTTCGAGGTGAGGGTTATTGGAGGAAGGACGAGGAGTGTTTTGTGGAGTGACTGAACGACGCGGGGGAGGAGGTATATTCGCTTTTTTAGTGTTGTTGTTGTTGTTGCTGCTGTTATTGGTCTTTAATGTAGAGGAAGGTTTCTTTAATTTTGGCTTGATGGGTGATGTGGGAGTGTGTATGCTGGGTATATCAAGTAATTCTACACCTCTCGTCTTTTCACTTTCCTTTTTATCCACAAGGACGTGCGTTGCTTTGGCTGTGACGGTCGGACCAAGGAAATGCAGGTTGCTCGATTTATTATTATAATAGGTGGCGGTAGTGGGTTCCTTTTTATCTGCTTCAAGCTTTATTCGACTGTCTGGAAACACCACTTCCTGCAATTTTTTATTATTATTAATATTTAATCATACGGGGGCTGTGTATGTGTTTTTTTTATTTTATTTTATTTTGTACTTACTAGGCGGTCGTTGCGTTTTTCCAACGTGGCTCCCTTCACCGACATGAACTTTTTAATCGTTTCCCGATCCAGAGAAAACTTGATTACATGATTGTTCTGCGACATGTTGGAAAGATTGAACACAGTGAATCAATTTTTTTATGTTGGGTTGTCTAAGAAAAGAGAGAGAGAGAAAGAAAAGAAAAAAGAAAACCTGCTGTAGTAATAATAAATAAGAGAGAGAAGGGACTGGGCTTTTTTTTTTTTTTTGAATGGAAAAAAACCAATCATTTTTTCCTTTTATTTGTTACATCACTCTTTTTTAATAATAATAAAAAAATGGCTCAAATTTTCACTCACGAACAAGTATCCAAACATAACACAAGAGATGATCTCTACATGATTATTGATGATAAAGTTTACGACATTACCAACTTTGTTGACGAGGTAAGGATTTGCCCTTACTCCTATTTTTTTCATCAGTACGCGTTAAGCTAACATCTTTTATAAAGCATCCCGGTGGCGATGAAATTCTTATTGAAGAAGGGGCCAAAGATGCTAGTGGCCCATTTGAAGACGTCGGTCATTCCCCTGATGCTCGTCAAATGCTTGAAAAGTATCTTGTGGGTGACTTGGACCCTGAGGTAAATAGCTGACAGCATAAATCATCCATTTTTTTTTTTTTTTTTTTTTTTTACCTTAACAACAACAACAACTAGTCCAAGCCCGTTGCTGTCAAGTCCCCCGATACCATCCATGTCACCAACAATGCTACAGAAGGAAAGTAAGTACTTAATATTATTTTTGCAAATCCATTCTACAAAAAGAAACCCTTCAATTTATTAAAAAAAAAAAGTCCTCTTCGTATCATCATTCCTGTGCTTTTCTTTATTGGATATATGTACTGGCGTTTCTTTCTTAAACAATAATTTATAGATTTAGATATATTTTGGAATGCATCCTTTTCAAAAGGCATACAACGACAAATAATAGTAATAAAAAAGAGTCCGTGTCTCTCTGCCTCTCCCATCCGCCCTTCTTTTTTTTTTTTTTATGCATCATCCAGATCTGACATATCACTTAATTCGGGTCCATCATCAAATATTCCTAAATAAAGTCCATCATCACTTTCAGATTGAGATTCAACCGAAACACGCTTTCTACTACTATTCAAGTTTCGTTTCTAAAACCGTATATAAAATATGTTTAGAGGGCATATACCTATTTTAGATAGCAAAAAATAAGTAACCTACCACAGGTACTGGTGGTGCTTTATTCTCCACCTCTTCCTCTTCTTCTTCTTCCTCTTCTTCTTCATCAAAGATATGCCCCTTTCGAATCACCTTTTGTTGATGATGCTTTAAATTACTAGCTCTGACTTGATGTAAAATACTACCGGTCACTTCAATTTTGGTAGGCACAGCGAGTTCATTCGTGGTGGTGGAGGAGAAATGAAAGGATTTGGATCGATGTGTTTGTGGTGTATTGAATAAACGTCGTACGGATTTAGCAGCGCGTGGACTGGTCATGGGTTGACGTGTCTCGATACCGCGTTTAGGGGTTCGAGGAGTAGTCGGTAGCTTTTCATTATCTTGAGAGGAAATTGTTAAATTACGACTATGACTTACCAACTAAGAGAAAAAAAAATTTACTTTCTTTTTTTAGTATAAAAAAGATAGAGAGATGAACAACCATTTTCATTTACCTTATCACTGTCAGAAGCCAAATCTTGTTCATAAATGACATCAAAGTAAGGTTTCCCATGCACTAAAAAAGCATGTCCCTTCATGGCCTCATACTCCAAAAGGGAACCTTCTAATTCTTTCGTGACTTTGGGCAATTCACGCGAGATGCGCTTTCTGAATTTTTCCTCGCGTAATAAACGACCAGGATCACGTTGACCTTTACTAAACAAGCGATTGGGATCACGCGTGGTGGCTTCAAATTCCTCTACCTCACTCTTTAACTTCATGTGTTTTTGAATGCGTTCCAAAATATACGCAGAATCCTCTACTTGTAATTGCAGTTTTGAAATCTCATCTTCATGCGCTTCCAATATCGCATCGGATAACAAACTATCATCGTTGACAAAAGCGGGTTGGAATTGCTCACGTTGGCTCTGACTGTAATACAATTGATCCCATAGTGCCTTTAATTCTTCTCGTGCCGTTTGAATAAAATCTCCTACACGGTCCTGTTTCAATACTAACAATCGGTTGTATTCATCCTCATAATTTTGTAATTCTTGTCGGGTCAGTCCTCGGTTTTCCATCAGAAATCGTTCACATGTCTCATCCTCCTCCAGATTAAGTCGATGCCAAAGGTGTTTGATACTCGCTGTAATTTGTTCTTTGCGTGACTCGATGTGTTGTTTCATTTCTAGCAGCTAAAAAATGATAATGAAAATCAAGACTCACAAAAAAAAACCCTCCTTCTCCCTCCATGCTGAATATGTATGATTTTTTTTTTTTTTTTTACCTGTTCTGCTCGAATGGCAATGTATTGTAAATTCTCATTAGAAACGAATTGATGGCATAATTGAGATTTCTTTTCTGGATCGGATTCACGAGAGTATTGTTCAATGGCCAAGTCTTGAGGTGTATCGGGGTCGATGCCCAACATGGCGAAAAGGTTAGAGATTTGTTTTACGCCTCTTTCAACCATGTCTTTTCTACTCGTATATTCTTGTTCGCAACGTCCTATTTCTTCCTCTAGGGCATTAACGGCTAATGAAGACACATCCACTTGTTCCTCCATGCTTATGTTGACAAAATCTTGCATGCTCGTCTTGTATTCTTCTAATTGTATGTACAGTTCTTTTTTATATAAAAGTGTGAGTTAGCTTTCTTTTTCTTTTTCTTTTTAAAAAAAAATGGCTACCATGGTACCTTTTACATGACTTAACCTTTCGTTATATCGCTACAAAAAGTAATAGGGGGGAGGAGGAGGAGGAGGAGGTGAATAAAGCAAACAGACACAAAAAAAGAAAGAAAATACCTGTTCCACTCCGTTTTTTTCCTGTTGTAAATGAGTCAAGTTGACTTGTAAAGAAAGGGAAGGGTCTAACACGACTTTATTTGACGCGAATTCACCCATAAGTTTCTTGAATGAGAGTATGGATTTTTGTGTGCTTTCTGCTTCCTTAATGATGTTTTCCTTTTCTTTTACGACGTGTTCAATTTGTGTTTCCACGAAGCCCTTCACGGACTCGAGTACGGCATCGGCTTTTTCTTTTTTCTCTGTTTCCGAATACCCAATTTCGTCCGTGAGTTGAGATAGCCGTTCTAATTGGTGTTGGATTTCTGTCGTGAGGTCGTGGATGGTTGTCATGGTATGTAAAAAAAAAAAAGAAGGGCTAAAGAAAGAAAGAAAATAAATCAACAGGGACTTTTTTTTTTCAGGAGACCAACCAAAAAAAAAGGGCGTCACGCGTTCCATTTGTCCAACAGAAAGGTGCACCTTTTTAGAAAAGGGGTTTGTTTTAACGAGTGTCCTTGAGTTTAATGACTTTTGCTTGTACATCACTGTTTATCACATTAGGGAAGAATGACTCCAAATAATAAAAAAAAACAAAAAAAAGACTTGATTGAACAACTGTCAAAAAAAAATAGGAAATTTAATTCACTTTCTCATGTAACGTATGATCTTAACAGATATTCTTTTGCATATTTTGCACAAGCTCCTTCAAAAAAAAATTATTACAAGTCAATAAAATAGGCTATGACAAGCATTAGTATAGTAAAGATTGGGGGTGAACAGTAAACGAGCTGTTGTTTTAGCTGATGAGACGGGTGTTCGTGCATGAATATTGGTGATGCCATAATCTGGATATAGTACATGACTTTTAAAAAGCAAAGCAATAGAATCCGATAAGTTAAAAAAGGTGGGATGAAGGTGTTACTAAACGGATTTAGTTTGTTGGAAGTAAGTGAACCACTTAAAGCCTTCCCTTTCTAGTTCTACCAATTTTCATTTTATCCTTCTAGTCCATGATTAAAAACATTGAAGCTTTTATTGTTGAATACAGTCGAACACCCCCAAATACCATGCGTGATTTGAAGAATGGAAGGGAAAAAGATGACCATTACCCCCACCACCGATATTGATGAGTACATATCTGACGTTATACCATACCCTGAAGACGAAGATGAACAAGAAGATGAAGATAGTCATGATGAAAAATGTGATGATATTTATTACATGTATGCAGTCAACCGCACCTCCTACATCAATAATCCCTCTTATATCAATAAACCCTCTCATATTAATGACCTTTCTTATATCAATATTCCCTCTTATACCAATAACCTCTCTTATATCAATAACCTCTCTTATGTAACCAATACGTTAAATAAATTTCGCTGGTTAATTTGTCATATATTAGGGGTCCTCAGTCGTCGAAGTTTTAAGAAAAATATTATATTTCTGATTGGCTAATTATTTTAATAATATTTTTAAAGCCTCGACGACTGAGGACCCCTATTTTATTTTTATTTTTTATTTTTTATGACAAACCATTGTGAAAGATACTTCAAAGGGCATTAAAAGAAGTAAAGATGCTTTATTAAACATTTTAAGAAATCACATCTAGAACTATATGGATATCTTCCTTAAATGCTTAAATGAAGAGTCTTATGCTGCTTTAACTAGAAATTGTATCACCTTTTTTCACTGGGCATTTTTGAAAACAGGAAATATCGGCAGTCGGGGCTGTTAAGATAAAGCTAAGAGAGTCTGGAATTTTAAGAAGAAAGGCAATGGGAACTAAAAAAAAGAAAAGTGCCTAAAGATGTCCAAATGACGGTGGAAGCACTGTACGATTTTCAAATATGCTGGTATTGCTGATGTTTAAATAAGGTGTGTTTTCAAAAAAAAAAAAAAATTGTTACACGGACAATTGTCAGTGCACCAATTTCTTATTTTTATGGATCTCACTATTTGATGTCAACTGTTGTTTATAGACAATAAATCACTCCTACTAGACATAGTAAAAAAAAACCAAATACGAAGAACGATAGGCTTACCGAGCTATGAGAGAGAAAGAAAGAAAAAAAAGCTTTCTGATAATCACGAGAAGCATATTGGGTCGCACCACAATTCTTCTAAATTGGTATGACAGTTGTGTATCCCAGTCTGAGAATACCTATTCAGTCTGAGAATACTTTCATTTATACAATTCACCTTATTAGCAGCAAAGTCTTAAACTCTTCTTTACCTTTTTTACACCCTTTTTTATTTATTTATTTTTTGTACAGGGCATTATGAACAGCTTGATAGAATCCATCTCTCCTCGTTTCCTAGAACGTGAAAAGCTTGTTCCCGTGGTCAGTATTACTGCCGCTACTGTCATCTTGTTTTCTTCCTACAAGTGTTTTTGGAGGAAAACCAAAGAAAGAGGTATCAAGGAGATTCCGATTCCTGGTTCTCGCTATCCTTACTTTGGTCATATGTTTTCCTTGGGAACTTCGCCCGGTAAAGTCATTGCTGCATGGCATAGAGAACTCGGCCCACTCATTCAACTCTGTATGGGCATTCAAACATGGATTATGGTCGATGATCCTGTTTTGGCTCACAAGATTTTTGTTTCAAATGGCGCTGTGGCCTCCAACAGACCGCATGTCACATTCGCCTATGATTATTATGGGCTCAAGGGAAAGTAAGTTTGTTTTTTCATTAATTGCGCGCTCACCTCTCTTTTTTTTTATTCACGGTTTTGTATTAAAATTTAGAGGCATTGTTTTTGGTTCTCATTCCAAAAATTGGAAAAAAGCCAGAGGAGCAGGTAAAAAGAAACAACCTTATAAGTAAACCCATGTAGACTGACTATCCAAGTTATAAAGTGTTAAGTATTATTGCACCCAAAGTCGTTGATAAAAATTACATTAAACCTATTCAATCCGAAGCGGCTGCTTTAGTCGATCGATTGATAGCGTATTCCAAGAAAGAGAATGGTGTAGATCCCACTGTGCATTTGCATCTCAATTCAATGAATACGATTTGTCGTGCCGCTTTTGGTAAACACTATTCATTTGATGATCCCGAGTTTAAAACCATGTCACATGTAACGGAAAGATCTATGACATTGGCGGCTATGGAGCAAGATCTACCCAACTTTTTACCTATCATGACCGTTGTGGACTACCTCTCTGGAAAACATGCCATGATGAAAGACTTTATTAATAATGAACGTAACCCACTTTATCGTAAATTAATTGCTGAAGCCTTGGAAACACCGGGTCCGAACTTTGTGAAATCTTTGGACGCATTTAATTTCACTGAAGAAGAAAGACTTGTCATCACTGGTAGTAATAACCAGATATCCCCCGCCGAATAAGAAATACTCAATCCTTTCTTTTTGATATATATTATAGCCGATTTAATTAATGGTGGTACCGATACTGTCTCTGTTACACTCTCTTGGTCTTTTGTCATTATGTGCCATTATCCTTTAGCTCAGAAGAAAGCAGCGGATGAAATTGACGCATTTATCAAGTTGAATGGCCGTCTTCCTGAATTCTCTGAAAGAACACAGCTTCCCTACTGTGTTTCGATGATGAAGGAAGGCATGCGTTTTAGACCCATCGGTCCTTTTGGTATACCTCATACTTTGGACGCCGATGGTAAATATAAGCAAACTTTTTGTCTTGTGATATAAAACTAAACCTGTTTTTTTGTTAAAAAAATTTAGTGTTGGTCGATGGTTACCTTATTTCTAAAGGTTCTATCGTTATCTCTAGTATGGAAAGTATGCATCAAAACCCTGACGTATTTTCTGAACCACTAAGATACTACCCCGAGCGATTCATGAACAATCTCAAAACAATGGATGCAGCAGCCAAGGGTAAAATTGAAGAGCGTGATCATTTCAATTTTGGTTGGGGAAGGTAAATATATTTTAAATTTTATGTCCAAAAACCGAAAAAACATAAATGCTAATCAAGTGTATAGACGTATGTGTCCTGCTATTTATATGGCAGAAGTGGAATTCTTTACTTCATTTACTCAAATTTTATCCAAATGTACGATTGAACCTGTTCGAGATGCCAATGGAAAAGAACAGTTACCGGATATTGATCATCCTGTTACTGCTGGTTTAACTCTTTTACCAATTCCTTACAAGGTCAATTTTGTTGAACGAACTGATTCTCTTATTTAAAGAAGTGTGACTTTTAAATTGTCCTAATTCTACACCATCGCATGACAGCAAGATCAACCTTTACATTCATAATAATAAAACAAGTTTTTCTTTATTTAAAAAAATGGATGATACTACTATTCATGATAAAAATATCTGTTTATATTATTGGCACAGTCGGTACAAGTACTGATATGTTTAAGTTCAGACGTATTTCCTGCGATCTTAAGGCGGGGTTGAAGGTTCGTTTGTTGTTGCACAGCGGTGTAACTACATATCATCTTCTGTCATTTTAATCGGACATGGTTTACAAGTGGGTTATAAAATGAATAATACTATATTTCAAAACCATTGGTTAATGCTCAGGGTCAGGATAGATGGAATTAAACACTGATGACCGATATACTGAGCCAGAGGAGAATTATGTCATTTTTTGAATTGCTTATTAGGTTCAGCCACTTCATTCGTCATGTCACCAGTGCACATAAAGAGGATTTTAAGTCAACAAGGCGAAGTCAATATATATGCTGCGCATCGACTGCGCTTTTCTCGAAAAACATATAAATATTATGTCCTTTTAATTCAATCAACATTATCCTTTATATTCTGAATTATAGTCTCGCCGTTGAATAGTGATCCTTCCTTTTAAAAAAATTCCTTAATCTAATATTATAAATTTTAATCCGCCTCATTCATCGCCTTTACACAACCGGAAATTCTTGTTTTTCACGATCTTAATAGGCGTAAAACCTAACATTTATTCTCTCATTCTTTTTTTGTATATCTTTTATTCTTCTGAATTATTGCTGAATCGCTTTATTTAGTGTTGCCATATTAAATTAACCAGAAAGTGGTAAGATTCCACCCATTCTATTAAATTGTGTCTCCTACAGTAATTTGTATTTTATGTTTCTCGTTGGTTCTTAAATAAATTTATTAGAACTAAAACGCAGCTCAAACCCCCCTATAGCAACATCACACATTTGCAGAAGACATAGTCTACGCTCCCTATCTACCAAGAATCAAACTTTTAAAAATCGCACTCTTTTAAACCCTGCCTGGAAGATCTAATCTTTTTTAAATATATATATATAAATACATTCCTTTCTACAACATGGAAGCAATTAACACCTTAATTGAAACAATACCTCCTCGTTTCCTAGAGCGTGGAAAACTTGTACCAGTAGTCAGTATCACTGCCGCTGCTGCCATCTTGCTTTCTTCCTACAAGTGGTTCTCAACAACGAGCGGGAATAAATCACAAGAAGGTGTCAAGAGTATTCCTATTCCTGGTTCTCGTTATCCTTACTTTGGCCATATGTTTTCCTTGGGAACCTCGCCTGGTAAAGTTATTAATGCGTGGCATAAAGAATTTGGTTCAATTATTGAACTCCGTATGGGGATCCAAACATGGATTATGATTGATGACCCTAGTTTGGCTCACAAAATATTTGTTTCCAATGGAGCTGTGGCTTCAAACAGACCTCATGCAACATTTGCATATACCTATTACGGGCTCGAAGGAAAGTAAGTTTTACTTTAGTTACAATTATAGTTTATTGATCTCTTTTGTATTTAATTATTCTGTTATTATTAGAGGTATTGCATTTGGTGCTCATGCCAAAAACTGGAAAAATGCCAGAGGAGCAGGTAAATACCTCGCCACCCTAGCCACCAAATCTATTAAATGACTGATTGTTTTTATTTTATGCAGTATTGAGTATCCTTGCGCCTAAAGTCGTTGACAAAAACTACATTAAACATATCCAATCCGAAGCGGCTGCTTTAGTTGATCGATTGATAGCGTATTCCAAGAAAGAGAATGGTGTAGATCCCACTGTGCATTTGCATCTCAATTCAATGAATACGATTTGTCGTGCCGCTTTTGGTAAACACTATTCATTTGATGATCCCGAGTTTAAAACCATGTCACATGTAACGGAAAGATCTATGGCACTGGGCGCCTTGGAGCAAGATCTGCCCAACTTTTTACCCGTCATGACCGTCGTAGACTATTTTACTGGAAAACACACCATGATGAAAAACTTTATCACAAACGAACGTGACCCGCTTTACCGTAAATTAATTGCTGAAGCCTTGGAAACACCGGGTCCAAACTTTGTAAAATCTTTGGACGAATTCACTTTCAGCGAAGAAGAAAGACTTGTTATCACTGGTAAGAATACTCCCATTATCTGTGTAAGTAAAAGTTAAATAAACGACTCATCTATCATTTAATTCTAGCCGACTTAGTCAGTGGTGGTACCGATACTGTTTCTGTTACTCTCTCTTGGGCCTTTGTCATTATGTGCCACTATCCTTTGGCTCAAAGGAAAGCAGCAGATGAGATTGACGCATTTATCAAGTTGAATGGTCGTCTTCCAGAGTTTTCAGAGAGAACAAAGCTTCCTTACTGTGTCTCGATGATGAAGGAAGGCATGCGTTTTAGACCTATAGGCTCCTTTGGTATACCTCATAAAATGGATGCCGATGGTAAGCATAATATAATATCATGGCCGAATGAAATAGAAGCCAACATTTTCTGCTTTTATCTAGTGTTTGTCGATGGATACGTCATCCCTAAGGGTGCTACGGTTTTTTCTAGTATGGAAAGTATGCATCACAACCCTGACGTATTCTCTGAACCATTAAGATACTATCCTGAGCGATTCATGAACAATCTCAAAACAATGGATGCATCCGCCAAGGGTAAAATTGAAGAGCGTGATCATTTCAATTTTGGTTGGGGAAGGTAAATATATTAGAATTTTATGTCAAAAACAACATAAATGCTAATCAAGTGTGTAGGCGTATGTGTCCTGCTATTTATATGGCTGAAGTAGAATTTTTTACTTCATTGATTCAAATATTATCCAAATGTACGATTGAACCTGTCCGAGATACCAGTGGAAAAGAACAGTTACCGGATATTGATCATCCTGTTATTTCTGGCTTAGTTCTCTTACCCATTCCTTACAAGGTCAACTTTGTTGAACGTATCAACCCTCTTATGTAATGCAATTTTAACATTGTTAGATCGTTCTGAATGTAGACTCGGATGATGAGAAAATAGACCTTTACTTTTTATAAAACTGTGATTTTTTTTAAAAGACAAATGTAATGAATAATGGAAGCATTTTTTTTTTTTTTTTTTTTTGTTTCAACAATCTATTTTTATACGTGAATTACTTGTGGTACGACGTGTTTGGTAAAGTAAATTTCGCTTGATCTCTTCAAGATCTTAGAGACTATATTTTGAAGCTTCCTCGATTCTTATTTCTTTTTCTTTTTTTAATCCTTGGAGTCTATTTGGCAAGGTTGGTGCTTTTCATTATATTCAAAAGATCGACACATGTTTGAAAAACAAACAGGGTCTGACCCAAATTTGCATTACGATTTGTGATCCAAACTTTAAACACCGATCAATGGGCACGTTTTTATAAGTATCTTCGTATGAGCTCATAAGTGGGAGCTATGCATGTGTCCATCAATGGTATTCGAATATTAGTAACTAATGCCGGAAAATACAAAACTTGTTTATTCGCTTTTGTTTGATGTAGAGATGCTTTATTCTAGAAATGCATCTTTCTTTTTTTGGATTCTGGGGCTGGCTATTCAGTTGTGTACCCTCAATTTGCAACATTTTAAACATAAATAAAATATAAAAAAGTTTAATTCGTTAGCTTCTTTGTTACTCTATCTTTTTTTTTTCTCAAAAAAAAACAATTATGGAAAAAGTAAACAGTTTCATTAATTCAGTCCCTCAGCGTTTCGAACGCGAAAAGACGACCATCATCAGTATTGCTGCTGCCACCGCTCTTCTCTATACCACATACAAGATAGTTAACAAGTCTAGCAAAAAAAAATTAGGGCTCAAAGAAATTCCTTCACCTGGCTTTTCATTTCCTTATGTGGGCCACATGTTCTCCTTGGGAGGTTCTCCTGGCAAAAAAATCACACAATGGCATAAGGAAGCGGGTCATATTTTCAAATTGGATATGGGAATTCAGACTTGGATCTTGATCGATGATCCATTGTTAGCTCATAAAATCTTTGTCACCCATGGTGTCGACTCATCCGATCGTCCTCATTCCACTTTTGCTCATGAGTACTATAGTTACAAGGGAAAGTAAGTTGTGTCGCTCTGATAGGTAAATCTAAAAATTATTAAACCTGCCAAAAAAATAGAGGTGTTGGATTTGCTCCAGCCACAAAAGATTGGAAAGTTGCTCGAGGAGCAGGTAAATATCATAGATGCATGATCGCAATTGATAAAATTACTGACTTTTAGATTGTTAAATTTAGTTCAAACCATCATTTCACCCAAAGTTGTCGATACTCATTATTTGGAACCTATAAAGACAGAAGCCATCGCTCTCGCTGAGCGATTTATAAAGTACTCTAAAATAGAGAACGGTGTTGATCCAACCAAACACTTGCATTTAAACTCGATGAACCTTATTTTCAAGGTAGCCTTTGGTAAGAAATTCACATCCGTCGAAGATCCAGACTTTGTCACTATTTCTGCCATGTCTAAAAAAGCAATGGGTTTGGCTGGCGCTGCTCACGATTTGCCCAACTTCTTACCCATCTTTACTATCATGGATTACTGCACCGGAGCTCATACCTTAATGAAAGATTTTATTGAGAAGGAACGTGATCCGATTTACAAAAAATTGATCAAAGATGCCCTTGAAAGCGATGGGACAAATTTCGTTAAAGCGCTTGAAGAATTTGATTTCGATGACGAGAATAGAATTGTTATCATGTGTAAGAAAGAGAGAAAAAGAGTTAGCGCAATGCCCAAAAATATATCACTCACATGAATATTTTTTTATTTTAGCGGATTTGATTAACGGTGGGTCTGACACGGTTTCCGTAACACTTGCCTGGGTTTTTGCCATCATGTGTAACTACCCTCTTTTTCAAAAAAAGGCCGCCGACGAAATTGACGCTTTTATTCAAAAGCACAAGCGTCATCCCGAATTTGCTGACAGAGACGAATTTCCTTATTGTGTGTCCTTGCTCAAAGAATGCATGCGATTTAAGCCTACTACAGCTTTTGGTATACCTCATAGCGCCAGAAAAGACAGTACGTAAACAATTTATGGGTAATATCTATAAACTAAATTGCTAATACATTACTGTTAAAGTTGTGGTGGATGGCTATTTAATCCCTAAGGGTGCTACACTCATCACCAGTATGGAGAGTATGCATCAAAATCCCGAGGTCTATGCTGAACCCTTGCGCTTTTATCCCGAGAGATTTTTGGATAATCTGAAAACAATGGATGCTGCTGCCAAGGGTAAATCCGAAGGACGTGATCATTTTAACTTTGGATGGGGAAGGTAGTATAAAGAGTTGTCGTCGTATATGATACATGATTCTTAAATCTCGATTCTTCTACTAGACGTATGTGCGCAGCCATTTATATGGCGGAAGTTGAACTTTTCACGGCTTTTGTTCAAGTCATTTCTAGGTGTACCATTGAGCCTGTCAGAGATATCGACGGAAAAGAGTATGTACCGGATATTGATAACCCTGTAATTATGGGCTTAACTCTTATACCTGCTCCACATAAGCTTAACTTTGTTGAACGTACACAATCTCTTGGCAAATAAAATAAAGATAATTCAAAACCGCACAAGTTTTTCTGTAGTAGGTTACACTTGGTTTTCGGACGTTTTCAGAACAAAAAATCTTTTTTTTTTAAAGAACTCAGCATTTAATGCGAAACAAACGTATCCGGATACTTCTATCAGATAGCTATAATTAAGTATTTCTGTGCTAGGAATCGCATGTTTGTTACTCAACCTGATTACATGGTGGAAATCTTTGGAGTGCGCGTATATTATCCCTATCAAATAGGCACGCTTACATAGGTACATAGACATAGCTGTAAATAATAATGGAATCAAGCAAACCAATGTTGCCAAAATCACATCCTCATATGCAAAACCTCTAAACAAAATTGAAGTCTTTGGCTTTGTGACTGCTAAGTGTCTCTAGGCAGAGACTTCTTGTTTTGGATATTTTCTAAACTCCGTATTTCGCGCCGGCAAGGGGGGGAAATGGATTGGGGGGAGCGGTGTGTGAGTGTGGGGGGAGAGAAGCATAGGGTGCTCAGCGCACCGCCTGAACAATTAAATCTTCCTCTTTTATACTCTAGGTTCGATCCAACAGCTACCATGAAGGTAAAACAAGAATTAGATGAATAGAGAATCAATAGATGTATACAAAAAAAAAAGAGAGAGGGAAAGAGTTTTTCAATGGATGGATGCGAAAAGAAGACAGATACAATAGATGGATGGATTTTCTTTTATGGGGGGACGTGATAAACACCACCGATTGGATCATATTTTCAATTGTCAATTGGAAGAAAAAATATAACTAGAAAGACTCTTTCACGTTGCAACCAAACCCTCGACAACGCACGACATCTTTTCTTGCTATACATTTATTGATTTCACTATTCATAAAATATCCATTGAAACATGATCTAATGAATGTATTTAGCTTAACATTGCGAACCCAGCCACTGGCTGCCAAAAATTGATTGAAATCGAAGATGAACGTCGTCTGTAAGTTGTTATTATTTAACAAAAGTGATAGGTGTGGAAGACTAACCTATTATTTTAGCCGTGGTTTCTATGATAAGCGTATGGCCCAAGAGGTCTCTGGTGACTCCCTCGGTGGTGAGTTCAAGGGATACGTTTTCCGTATCTCTGGTGGTAACGATAAGCAAGGTTTCCCCATGAAGCAAGGTGTCCTTTTACCTTACCGTGTCAAGCTTTTGATGTCCAAGGGTCACTCTTGTTATCGTCCTCGTCGTACCGGTGAGCGCAAGAGAAAGTCTGTCCGTGGTTGTATCGTCGGTTCCGATCTCTCTGTCTTGTCTCTTGTTGTTGTTAAGCAAGGTGAGCAAGAGATCCCCGGTCTCACTGACACCACTGTCCCCAAGCGTCTCGGTCCCAAGCGTGCTTCCAAGATCAGAAAGTTCTTCGTACGTGTTTAATTTTATGGTTGAATGAAATTACGTTTTTTTACTAACATGATTATTACAGAACTTGACCAAGGAAGATGATGTCCGCAAGTATGTCATTCGTCGTGAAGTCACCCCCAAGGGTGAAGGTAAGAAGTCTTACACCAAGGCTCCTAAGATCCAACGTCTTGTCACTCCCCTTACCCTCCAACGTAAGAGACACAGACAAGCTCTTAAGCGCAGAAGAGCCGAGGCTTCTCAAGAGGCTGAGTCCGAGTACAAGCAATTGCTTGCCAAGCGTGTCAAGGAGACCAAGGATAAGAAGATTGAACGTCGTCGTACTTCTTCTATGCAAAAGTCTGCTTCTGCTTAAACTTTTTGTTTAAAACTATCTAAATAATAAAACAAATTTCAATTCAAAAAGAGTTTTATCAAACATATTAAACCTCCTTATTATTTTTGATTTGTTTGTTTCCCTATTTTTATGTATGTGCAGCTTTTCTTTTTTTTTTTTTTTTTTTTTCTTTTTCCTTTTGTTTCTTTATGGCTTCTATCATTACGCAGGTACAACATACTGGTAACACAATCAATGAAAGGAAATCCAAGCAACATTTACCCAGCTTGATCAGTTTATCTCTTCGAGGTGCCCGTATCAATCTGGACAAAGATACTCTCGTAATAAATAAAAATAAAACTATCTACTCTAGTATGTTCATGCCATTGACTTACTATTTATATGAATTAGTTGGAATTACCCGAGAGTATGCTTGTAGTGATGTTTCCACATGGGTTTGTACTAGATGGGCAAGAAGACAGTAAGGACCGATTTTGCACCGTGGATTTCAATATGGATTGTCTTTTATATGTGCTAGATTATTTCGAAAAAGCCAAATCGAATTTTAAATCGGATGAGTTTGCACAAGATGCGTATTTGGCTCATGCAGTTGTATCAGGTATACCCCTGAATCCACTCTTGACCAAACAAGCGATTGTTGTGCTACGTGAAGAGCTGGAATTCTTCCTGGTGCTGGATAGCATATCGCCTAGTCTGAAACAAAAGAGTGGAGAGTGGCTGGTACAGCAGAATTTGGTATTTGAAGCACTTTTGAAGAATGATAAGGATGCAGACGACAACGGTGAGAATCGTGTAGCAGAACATCATCTGATAGATATGTTGTGTCATGCTGGTTTCTCTAAAAAGGATCATTGGCACCATCGCTCCACAGAGCCAAATAAAACCAGTGTCAGTAGCTTATCTTTGGTCTCGCTTACTCAAGCCAGTCGAATGGCCGTCGGCCAAAAGTTGATCATGTTCTGGAGAAAGCCTGCAGTAAGAAAAATAATTCTTCTGCCTGCATGACAACAAATATACTAAACTCCATTGTTATTCTAGAGAAAGTGTTGGTGGTCAAAGTCAATGGCAGATATTGATAATCAGCTTATAAAGCTATGGTGTCGTAGGACATGGACACTTGAATTAATTCTCTTGTAAATAAAAACAGCACCTAATAAATCGCGTTGATTTTATCTTATTTGTCGTGACGGTTGTCGTGTAAAACAAAGAAATCAACTTTTTTTTTGGGTTCATTAAAAAAAAAAAAAAAAAAAAAAAAACCTGTTTCTCCCTTCCCCTTCTTAATATAACGATTTTTGACATTTACTTTACACAATGAATAGTACGGACCTTCCCCAGCGCATGAGAATCAATGCAACGCTACGCATGGGTACACAACAACAAGCTATAATGAAAAAAGAGCCTATCAATATACACCAAAAGAAACTGGCCTTGGAAGTGAGTGTACCTCCTTCTCTTCAAAAGCCTAACCACGATCCATTATTAAGACCACTTCAGACCAATACGCGACAACTGGAAGCACAAGGAAAACCCTTGATGGAGCCCGCAAAAAAACTGGCCCGTGCCATCCGAAAAGAATACAAATTGGTACAAGATAAAGACATTCCGATCCAGTTAAAAGATGCCAGACACAATATTGCTTATAAAAAACTCAATTGCTTAGGTTCTGTAAGTAAGGCAAACTCGGGAGGGGGTAGAATGGTCGGGCGGGGGTTTTATTGGTTACTTAATAATTATCTTTAGGGTGCGTTTGCAAAGGTGTACCGTTTCAAGTCTCGTGATAAGTACCATGCCGCTAAAATCGTATCCAAAGAATCGTTACGACCCGAGAATATCAAAAAGAAACTGTTTGCAGAGATCAATATTCATCGAGTCTTGAAACATGAGTACATTGTGAATTTCGAAAGCTGTTTTGAGGATAAGCTCAACATTTATCTTGTATTGGAATTGTGCTCAAATGGAGTAAGATATATATATACCCAAACAGTATGAAAAGGCATTGATTATTTATTTTTAGACATTAAGCGGCATGTTGAGAAATCGTAAAATACTGACAGAGGACGAAGTACGATATTATATGGGCCAAATATTGTCTGCCTTACGTTACATGTCTGACAACCGAATACTACATCGAGACCTGAAACTGGGCAACGTACTGTTGGACGAAAATATGGATTGTAAATTAGGCGATTTCGGTCTTGCTGCTCTTTTAATTGATGGTGCAGATCGTCGACGGTAAAGATGAGATAGTGATTGGGGAAGGCATATATCAGGTTTTTTAATGCATTTCATAGAACTATTTGTGGTACACCGCACTATATCGCACCAGAAATATTATTCAACAAACAGGGTCATGACCACAGGGCAGACATGTGGTCAGCAGGCGTATTAATGTTCAATCTTTTATACGGGAAGCATCCATTTCATCATGATGAACCCAACAAACTTTATGAGTAAGTATTCTATTGTATTGGATATCACGTAAAAACTAAAAGAAAAAAAAAATGTGTGTAGTCAAGTCAGACAAAACGAATTAAGTCGAGAATACACGTTTCCTAAGAACCATGTTGGGTTTAAACCAGTATCTGAATATGCAAAGGATTTAATTAGCAAACTACTTGTAAATAATCCTGGTAAATGGAGTGTTATAAGAAGGGTGTGGGTAGTGTGTGGGAGAAGAGATACGAGTTGGATGCTAAAAAATCAATATAGATACTCGTTTATCTGTGATTGAAGCATTAGAACACGGCTTCTTTTCAAAATTTAAATCACCCTTGAGAATTCCTAAGACAGCGCTATATAAGATCCCCGAGGACTATGAAATGTTTGGCGATGATGAGCCGTCTAAAGTAGATGATGCGATACGACGAGCCAAAGATCGAAATGAAAGCCACGTCGATCATAATGTCAATCCTCCTTTAAAGATCATGCACGAAGTCATATTAGATCCTCGTACACAATATCCCGTAAGACTCTCATCTCAGTCATCTACAATTCCGACGCTTGAAACGTCTTCTAAAAAAAGGTTCGCGGGTATTAAACAAATTGAAATGAGTTTCTCACCATCATCACTATCATCGCCAACAATTAGATCAAATACAACTGTCGAATTATCGGTCAAACGTCCTTGTCTTCCCAAAACAAAACCATTGTCTCCTGAGTCTGATGGCGTTTTACCCAAGGTCGAAAAACTCTCGGTGAATGCTGATGAACCAGCTAAAACATTCGGTACGAGACAAAAAAAAAGATATCTGATATTTATAAATGAATCTGATGTAATATATCTTAGCAATCCCTTTACCTCTGCCTGGTAGAAAACCAATCATGGAAGAAATGGCGGGTAACTTGAAGGTCATGATTGATAGACGTTCAGCAATACCAGCTAGTCGACGAACACTCACTGCAGCAGAAGACGATGATTTTACTTGGCATGGAAACAATGTATTTGTTCAAAATTGGATTGATTGTACGCCTTGTTATGGTTTTGCCTATCGATTTTCCGATGGTACGATGGGTGTATTATATAATGACGGATCCACCATGACATCTGTCAATGAAAAGTAAGCATCTTCTTCTTTGTGTAAAAATATCTTTACTGACCTCCTGATACAGGGAATTTTATTACATCTATCACCGTTACGAAGATAATAGATACGTTGAAGCCACTTATAATGACGGTGTCCCTCAAGAGTTGAAAAAAAAACGGGAATTGTTAAACACATTTAAAAAATATACAGTTGGATTCTTGCCGCTTGAGTTCTCGGTGCCGCAATCCCCTGATGCTACAAAGGTGCATTTATTCAAATACATGATTTCAGATACTTGTATCACATTTAGATTGAATAATGGTGTGATTCAGGTAACTATCCAATCATACTTTTTTTTTGTTCTCTTCTTTTTGTATTGACGAAACCTTCACACGTACACAGTTCAACTTTTTCAAAGGCGGTAAACTAGTCTTGTACGAAACGGGAAAGCGCATGATTTACATTGACACAAATCGAAAGATGCGTCACTTTAATACTATCGACGTGTTTAAATCGGAAGAAAAGAATATGGTGGATGCTCTCAATAGTGCTTATGAAGTGTTGCAAGGACAAAATCAAGAACGAATGAACGCACTTCGAAATATGCGATGGCAGCGTATGGCAAAAGAATATTCGGCAGAGGCATCAATCACAACACCTATCAAATAGTTTTTTGTAATTATAATCTTGATACATATTCCCTTTTTATACAGCACATAATATCTAATAAATAATAGCAACTTGAACCCATTGGCATATAAAATAAAGTGTTACTGAATAGAATTTTAAAAACAAATAATGAAGAATCTGACAATATGCGTAACAGCGTTGAAGCTAAAAATACAGAACATAGTGAGAATTGTTAATACGTGTGAAGGCGCTCAATTTTATGGCATGTCGCTGATGCAAGAAAAGAAGAAGAAAAGAAAAAGGAGGGCTTGAAATTATGAGGTTACAAACAGAAACTTTTAATCAAATATATATATATATATATACAAATATTAAAAGCGTGTTTCTCTAAGCTCCCAACAAAGAGTTGATTTAGCGGGTCAGACCACGAGAAGGCAAAATCACATCCAGACTCAAAAGGATGACACTATATTTCTTTACTCTTATAATTCTTGTGTTCTCGAAATACCCGCTTACTTCTAGATTTACAGGTGACTCTAATATGCTCTAACTGTTGCCTACCCACAATGCACAACAAAAGAAACATAAAAGACCCAATTACCAGCCACGCCATGTTGGGGTGGTGCTTTGTGCCTTCAACGGTCACGGCACGGGTATCACGGAGAGCTGGGTCTGTAGTTGGTTTAAGACTTAAAAAGAACTTGAAGAACTGTATCTGTATGTCTTGTGTAACCATCTAAAAGATGGGAATGTGAACCATCATTGTATTTCAATACTTCTTAGCTAGTAAATATTATTGTCATACCCCATCGTCAAGTTCTGATTTACGTCGTGTGCGTACCATTATGTTTCACGTCAGTTTTATTAGCGAAACTGGATGTATATCTAGTATACTATTTTACACGCGCCCAAGTAATAAAAATCAGTGAAAGCATGAACTCTGAATCTTTTAATTACAAGCAGCTTAAAGAAAGCAACAGTGATAAAACGACGAAAAGTCTTTGTCTTCAAGTTGTGAATGAAAAAAATTACGGCTGATTTCGAATGCCCTTAGCCTATGAAGCATCTTGGTGTTATTTCAATTGACTTTCTGCAAACACTAAAAGTACACACTTAAGCATTGGCAACTTTTTTGAAGGAAGGAAACAACGTAGCCTTTAAAAAAAAGAAACTCTGGTAAGTAAGAAGAGGGTACATTTGCACGGTGTTTACTTGTCTATGGTGACCATTTGCTGGGGTGGTAGGATTTTAATCAGATTACATTTCAGCTTCATGCTTTGAAAGAAACCCGTTACCGATTTTTGATGTTCAATGGTTCTTCTTTCAAATAAAGTGAGATAGTACTGTTTGTCTTCCATCTTATTTTTTGCTGTAAATAGTGTGGTTTAACAAAAATTAAAAATCAAAAAACTATATATTGTTAAGAGTTCAGACTATTAACCTTTTTCTTATTCTTAAACAATTTATAGATGGGAAAATCTATGTCTGCATGCTTATATTCTTACGTGGTGGGTGCTAAATTACAATAGGTTCTTCATACATATATTCATTATGACATCAATTATTATGAGCACTATTTTTGAAAATTATATAAAAGAAGTGATAGAGTAGAGTCATTAAAAAGGGGCAGTTGTTATTATAGTAATATTGTTAAAGGGTACAATTTACAAAAAAAAACATCATAATGGAAGACGAACCATCTGTAGATTTAGTCCGGTCTCAAAATATGATTTAGCATAAAAACTTCTAACTCGATAAATGCATATCAGATACACATTAACGCGATTACAAAATATCTCGGAAGTATACATGTTTTTATAGCACCGCGCATCTAACAAAGACTGTTTGATCGGTTTAAGGCAGGATATAACAAAGACTGAATTAATCAAGTATTGTCGAAAAGTAAAAGTGTCTGAAAAGAGTCTGAGGGGCATCTAATAATGGTAAACCTATCATAAAAAAAAAGGTAAGATTAAAATTTACTGGAAACTTTGATCGATCAGCTTTAGTGGTCAACTGTTCTTTTAATTTATCTTTGTTGATAATCTAAGCTTTTTGTTTGCATTAAGGTTATATTCGAGAGTGCCGATACACTGGGTGAAGGTGCTTATAAATCGGCAAAATTGTTATACTGTAAGGAAAATTTAACAAAGGTGTGAATGATCTAACTTTTTCACGAAATGCTCGAAGGTATTGTATCAAATATATAAGTATCCACGTGATGTAACATATAGCTTTGCCTGCCTCTTTTTTGAATAGTTCTTTTTGGGTTATGACAGCCTGTATTTTGATTTATTATCTTCTTCTTTTTTTATATTAGAGCTAGTATAAGTTATTTGAAAAAGAAATATAAGTTCCTAGAAAGAAGTGAGGTTTGAGCAAAAAAAAAAAAAAATTGAAGGCGGTGTGCCTATTTATTTGCATGAATTAAGGGCTGAGATTGAAACGATGCAGATTTTCAAATGCAGGTCGAGATGATCTATTTTTTTTTTTCAGCCATCTTCTTTTTTTTTAAAAAAAATTAAAAATAAATGTCAAGGTCTTTTTCGAATATACAACGCAAACATTTACGTTAGAAAAAAGTCTGTAATTTGTGAAGTTGTAGGCCTGTAAATAAAAAATGTCGTGCTTTGTAATAATCCAAAAAAAAAAAAAAAAAAAAAAATAGTGATACCAATTTAATCGCGGATAATCTCGTTGTTTAGAAAAGATAAATTATTCGTACTACTTAACAGAGCGAAAAGTGTATGACTGAAAGACTCGATCAGTAAGACACTTGGTCACTAGGTGTCATAAATATCGCACAAAACGTGAACACAGGTGTAAAATAATTGTGACTCGTGTAAACTCTATCTCAATATTTACGACACAAAAAGAGTTCAAACATTTACCACGGTTTATTGTCAATGTGTTATTTTATCTCAGATAGACGATATAGTTTAGATAAACGAGCAGATTTAGGTAACTCTAACCTTAATAGCTGATAATGGTTTTTTAACCAGCTCTAGGTATAACTGACAAAAAAAACGTCGGTAATCTCATGTAATAAATAAACTGGGTGAGATCTAACTTGATTTATACCTGTATTTTACAAAAAAAAAATTGTCTTTTTGTGTTCGTTAACTTAAAGCCACTGTGCGCCAAGCAGATTTGGGGAGTCTAGCAAAATTTACATACGAAACTCAGTGAAAGAACAGACATGCCATCGTACCACGTAGAAAGCTTATTAAATATATGATGTTGAATTTATTTATCGTATGGATTTGTCAACGTAAATGGGAAATTATTATTTATAACTATGGTGCAATCCGTACACATAATTGCGTCTACTGCATAAATTAGTGTAAGCCTATTTCGATAATTCATAGAATCATGCATTTTTTTCTTTTTCCTTTTTATTTGTTCTTGTACTTAGTGCAACAAGACTTCTGAATTACACAAGCCCGCCTTTTTTTTTTTTTTTTTTATCTTTATCTTTGTCTCGTACTGCCTCAAAAAAAAAAGTAAGGTTAAAATACCGTTCAAAATATTAGTTAAAGACATCGTGAAACATAGTGTTAAGGTTTCAATGTTTATATGGAAAGAGAATAAGAGTGATCAAGGACAAATTGAATTAGGTTCAGAGAATGCTAATTATTGATTACGTTTCAGATACGTAACCAATACTTTATGGTTGAATTTGAACGAAACAATACAAACAGATCATAAAATATAAATTTCTATTCCGATTTGGATCAGGTGCTACAATATGGATAAGAGTACAACCCAAACAGTTCAAACAATGGCACGAACCCTGGGACCTTTCATTAGAATACCATCATAGCAGGTACATAATGCGCCATAGTTTGCTAATTAAACATGAATAAAAAAGAATGCAAAAATAACAGGTGATAGGCCAACCCGATCTGACTTAAACTGTATTGTTTTATCGTATCTGAACAATGGGATTTTTATATGAGTTTTACCACTTTCTGTCTAGTCATATGGCCTTTTTTTAATTCAAGATTACCTATTTTGGTTTTTTTTTTTTTTTTCCTTCAGCGCCCGAAAAAAAAAAAAAAAAGATTTACATCTCGTTGGCTCACTTGTCAGTGGCCAATGAGAGAAGTTTTGGCTGACACCATACTTGTTAGTACACCAGTAATAATACAATTTCGCAATGTTACCCAATCTCGAACCTAAAATTATTCAAAAAAAGATTTTGAACAAAATCTCTATAATTTTTAAAATGAATGTGGGATATGTTTTCGACTACCACAAAAAAAGTAAAAAACGATTACCATTTATCAAGATTAGATCAGGCTAAATATTTTTTAACGTTTAACTCTAGACCTTTTATTCCATATTTTTTAGTCTTTTTTTTTTTTTTTTTTGTTACGCTCGCGGGGATTATGATCTGTCTTTCCATTTTTTCGAAGGTATTCCAAACTCAATTTGACAGTAATCCTATATAAAGGTCCACTTGTTTTAGTTACTTTTTCACTTTATTCTTTATTAATTCCTTTTTTTTTTTTTAAACAAAAAAAAAAAAGCCTTTCTATTTTACACACACTCTCTCTTTCTTTTTATTAAGTAATATCCTACAAATCCGGGTCACTGGCCTCTACTCGTAAAAACAAAGTAAATCAAACGACATAACTCTCTCTTTTTTTCTTTGTTACAAGAAAAATTACAACATACAACATAATATACAAATCTAGTATGGCTCAAGATAACGAAAAAATTCAAGTCAATGATCAGACGATCATTGAAGATGTTCAAAGCTTCACCTCCGATGACTCCTCTAAAGAAAAGGGTCATACCTTGAAGCGTGGTTTGAAGGCTCGTCACATTCAAATGATCGCCCTCGGTGGTACTATCGGTACAGGTTTATTCATGGCTTCTGGTAAAGCTATTGCCAATGGTGGCCCCGGTGGTGCTATTGTTGCTTATGCCTTGGTTGGTCTCCTCGTCTTTTGTGTCATGATGAGTTTAGGTGAAATGGCCGCTTATATTCCTGTCGCTGGTTCTTTCTCTCATTTTGCTACTCGTTTCGCTGATCCCTCTCTTGGCTTCATGGTCGGTTGGGTTTATTGGGCCAATTGGGCCGTTGGTGTCGCTGTCGAATTGACTGGTGTAGCAATGATTATGGAATATTGGATCACAAGTGTAAACAGTGTTGTCTGGTCTGTCATCTGTCTTGTCATTCTCGTCGCTATCAATGTCTTTTCTGTTAAAGGTTATGGTGAAATCGAATATTGGATTTCTTTCATCAAAATCGTAGTCGTTGTCATCTTCATTATCGTTGGTATCTGTGTTGATACTGGTGCTGTTGGTGGTGTTAATTATGGTGTATCCAACTTCCATTTACCTGGTGGTGCTTTCCCTAACGGTTTCCTCGGTGTATTCAATGTCTTCATTACTGCTGCCTTCTCCTTCAATGGTGTTGAAATTGTTGGTATCACTGCTGGTGAATCTGCTAACCCTCATAAGACCGTACCTGCTGCTGTCAAGCAAGTCTTTTATCGTATCGTCTTGTTCTATATCCTTTCAATTCTCATTATTGGTCTTGTTATCCCTTATACCGATCCTAACCTCTTGCAAGGTTCTGATAACATTTCAGTTTCTCCTTTCACTCTTGTCTTCCAAAAGGCTGGTGCTGCTTGGGCTGCTGATATGATGAACGCCATTATTTTGATTACCATGATCTCTGCTGGTAACTCTGGTGTCTACTCTTCTTCTCGTACTCTTTTAGCTTTAGCTACTGATGGTTATGCACCTCACTTCTTCTGTTTCGTTAACCGTTGGGGTATTCCTATCTGGTCCGTTTTGGCTACTTGTGCTATTGGTTGTCTTGCTTTCTTGACTTCTCTCTTTGGTTCCGGTGTTGTCTTCACCTGGTTGACTTGCCTTACTTCTCTTGCCGGTTTGATCACCTGGGTTACTATCTCTGTTACCCATATTCGTTTCCGTCAAGGTTATCTTTCACAAGGCCGTTCTATCACCGCACTTCCTTATGTTGCTCCCTTCTTCCCCTTCTGTGATATCTTTGTGATTATTGCTGGTACCATCATTATCTTTGGTCAAGGTTACAAGTCCTTTATTGCACCTATTACACCCACTGGTGTGATTTCTACTTATATTGGTTTGATCTTGGCTGTTGTGCTTTATGCCGTACATAAGATTTGGAAGCGACCTTCATTTGTCAAGAACTCTGAAATGGACTTCGAAACCGGTACTTTGCAAGAAACTGTCATGAATATTCGTGAAGATGAAGGTTTAGATGCCAATGGTAACCCCATTCCTAAGTGGAAGCAAATCTGGTCCAAGGTCATTGATATTATTGCTTAATATTCTATATCCACCTTTTACTCTCATTTTTTCTCTTTATTATTATTATTATTATTATTGTAAATATGTTTTTCAACAACATATCCCTTATTATTAGTGTACATATATTCTCTTATCCATTCTTTTTAAGACACGTTACTGTCCTAAAAAAAAATTAATAAAAAACTTTTCAACAAGATTCCCAAAAAAAAAAAAAAAAAAAAATGATCGATTGTGAGAAAATTCTGGCTTGATTTGGTTTAGTTTTATTAGGATAACTCAGTAGTGATAATGATTATGCAACTTTTATTAAAAGGATTATTAGTAAACTTACGTTTTATTGGCCAGCTTATTACACGAAAAAAAAAAAAAAAAAAAGGGATCCTGTCAATAAAGAATTTTTATTGTATACGATTTTTGGGATTTTCATTAAATCAAACAATAGAACAGGGAGATCGGGTTGTACACGTATTCGTTTATGCAAAAAGTAATGGTTTAAAGTTTGCATCATAGCGCAACTATATTTTTAGCTTGATACAAACAGGAACTATATTTTTACGCATCTATGGTGCAATTTGACGGCTTTGGTTTTAAAAATGATTGGCTAATTATTGTCTGGTTTAAAAAAAAATCTCCATCTTTTCATCTATTTTTTTTTTCAAGTTCCTTTTTAAAAAAAGATCATTGATTACCAATGCATTGGTGTGGAGAATATGTCAATGGAAAGCCTTGATTTTTTAAGTTTATGCATTAGCCCACAGACATTCTGGTTACAATGTGTGCACAACCTTGGTAGCATTGTGGCAAAAGTGTGGGGGGAGTTTGGCTTGTGTGTGCCCATCTCAATCTGGTGAAACCTAAACCATACTTACGTTCATTAGATATATTGATGCCTCATTCCATCGTTGTGCTTATATTTATAAAACATGTCATTGAAGCGGTATTATCGTCCACAAGCAAATATATTCAAGCTGTAATCAATTATACATTCTAAAATATCCCATCTCATAAACATTTCAGCTGGTGTTAAACGTACTCAAAGTCTGAGATTTAAGTAAGAAGTCAATATACAGACATCGCTTCAAAAAAATCATTCCTCCCGTGTACTGACCATATGTAAATTAAAATGCGTCGATAGATATTGATTGATTTATTGACCTTAATCTGTTCTTCGGCTAAGTTTCGCTTATAATTTATAACTTTCTCGGTTTTGCTACCTTACAGCATGGTGCTCACTTAAGCTACATAAATACATAAAACATAATCCAATACCAGATATTTGAGCAAAATTGATAAGCCAAAATATGTGAGTTGCCATGTACATTTTGACGAATCTAGCCCTGGATGGTGTCGGCATGAACCGATTGTCCATTACAAAGTACTAGTCCTGATAATTTTTTTGAAGATCTCTATAATTTGATAAGCAGCAGTCCAACAGTTCTACATATAAGGGTTGTCACGAGCTATTCAAATCAACGCCCTATCACAAGATACAGTGTGTATTGATGTGGTGTCCTGCCTTCGTATGTAAACTTGATTTTATGTATGGTAGTATCGAAATCTGATTACTCTAAAATACATTTCGCACGTTACAGCTGAAGCCAATGTAGTCATTGCACGACATGGTAATGTTCCAGAACAATATACCAACAGGAAAAAAGGGCAAGGCACGGATTCCCCTCCCCTCTGTTTTTTTTTTTTTTTTGTTTAGTTACATGAGACGACTCATTAGCAGCAGTACTGCCTCCTTGTTTACGTGAATGTCTTTTCCTGTATAAAGAAAAACTAGCTGTTACAAATGACGCATATTTACCAGTGAATCAAAGTTACCTATATTTCTCCATGTCTCAAACATTTCGTGGCATAATTGAAGTATGCACGTTACTCATGACTCTCAAACCGTTTTCTTTGCCACTCTTTACAGTCGAACTTTTTAATGGGCACCATAAGTAAAAACGTTATATACTATATAAAACCTGGAACAGTGAGCTTACACTATGACACAGTCAAGGCATGTGGAGTGAACAATATTTTCAAACTACTCTTCATTTTAAGAACATTCAATTATAATAGAGAGCAAAGGGCGCCTTTTTATTTTAATATGTGTTGCTTAATGGTTCTACCTAATGCAAAAAAGGCCCTTTACTTTTGAGAATAAGAAGCCTTATTCAGAAAAGTAAAGGGCCAAAAAAACAAAAAAAAAGCCCCCCACCGAAGCAGGAGGCAAAAAAAAAAAAAAAAAAAAAAAAAAAAAAAAAAAAAAAAAAAAAGTATATACAATAGATGGCAATAGATGGCAATAGATACAAACAAAAAACGATGCTTACTCCCTAACACCTCTGAGAAGTACGAATCATTCAATCCTGGGACTGATGGCACCAATGAGAGCTATTAAACAGCAAACATCAGTGTTGAAAACAAACCTTAAAGAGAAGAAAAATCAATGGATGGGGGTTCCCTTTTTATACCATTTTGAAATCAAAAAAATTTATGGGCCATGTGATAAATATGACTATCAAATATGACTATCGATAGGACTATCGATATGACTGCCTCTGGGTAAGTGAATGTGTTTACGCCACAAGGAGATCGCTTTAAATACAAAAAAAGTTACACAAAACTACTCTTTTCCCTGTAAAAATCACTATTTTTCATGCCACAGAAATTCATGCCTTCTTTGAAGTCTTCACGTTACTCAACCGTCTTTTTTTTATGTCACGCCAAGTCACAGAAAAGAGAGTTTAGACCTACCAGAAAGTACTTCAGTGTAGTTATTTTTATTGACCTCCATTACTGTTCATAACCAAGAATGTCTTTTGTCCTTCTGTCTAATAAAAGGAGGTTTGTCACTGTTGTCTTTCACCTCACACGTATGCAAGTCATTATTTAATGGGTGGGGGTAACTACTTGGACTTAAAGGTATAGTCACTGCTCACCATTAGTCATTATTTTCTTTAGTTTTCGTGCAAGGCTTCTGAAACTTATGCAGATGTTACAGTCCCCGCTTCCGACATTTCAAGTTCCTTCAGGCAACGTTTTTTGATGAAAGACCGTAGTCGGATAGAAAAAGTCTTTATAAGAGCTTGCAGTGAAATCCACAACCCCATATTCATACTCAAATACCAGTAATGACTGTAATAACTGTGCCCCCCCCCCCCATCGTATCACAGTAAGACATGATGTCCTTTTCCGTCAGTTGAGTACAGAAACCTTGACGGTGTTTGCAAAAAAAAAGGGGGGGTCGTGTGTAAAGATCTTTTGCATTTACAACTTCATAAGTTTGACGCATTCTTACTTTCCCTTTGCCCAAACCAGACATGCTATTCAAGTGAAGGATCGGCAGTTAAAGTGGCTTAGAGTGCAGTCTATATTTATAAACAGCGTGTGTGTATTTCTTCTTTGACATCACCAGGTCATGTGCTTCTTGAGCAATTAGAGAATAGATCTACAAATGCTTACTTGTACAGAAAAGTTTATTTTAAATGCTGGCTTTAGAGGGGAAGATAACAACACGATACTTTCTCGAAATCTAGATCAACCTCTTAATTTAGCTTAAAATGGGACTCAAAGGAATTGCAAGTGGGAGCCTTTGCCGTATTATGAATAAATTCTCATTGTGTGTGGGGTAATTTCTATGCTGAAGACTGCATTTGAGTTTTGAGCTCCAAAGTAGACACTCATAGGTCATCCGTTCGATCTGAATTCTCACCAGTATGCAAGCTAAAAGTTCGGTACGGTCTCCGACGATCATTTTTTTTTTTCTTAGATTGGAACGGCAGGTAAATGGTGAGTACGCTTCTTTCTCTAGTGGGTATTGGTATCAGGTAACAAATGTTGGAGAGCCCGCGTTATTATAATCAGCAATTGCAGCAAGTAAGCAACAAGAATTTACATCAACAGCAACAACAATGGACGACAACTAACCCTCCAAGAGCAAAAAAAAAAGAACTAGGGCAGCCGCCGGATATTGATGCAGATAGCATCAAGTCATCAATATCGAAAGAGGAAGTCCTTGTGGATTCATCTTGTGTTTAAAGTGGAGGGATGGAATATGATGTATATCAAGCGAGTTTAGTTAGGAAGTTTATTTTGTTGATTTCATTAATAGAGGCTCTATTGTCCGTGTTCATGCATGTGGTTGTCTGTGTGTATTGTCCACATCATATTTTGGGGCCTGATGATGGTTGTGTAGACATTCAAAGTCTTTTGGAAATTAAGAAACACACATTCTATTTATTTCAACGACATTTGATGAATACTTGTATGATATTATAAATAAATTTAGAAAGTGAGATGTAATCAACGAGGATAACCAGACAATGTATTGTTTATAATGGTTGAAGATGGAACGATTTAAACTACCCTTTTCTACTTATAGTGATGGTAAGGATTAGTAACGACTTAATTATCCCCCTGATCCAAATTTCTAAAAAATGGATGAGGGCCATTAGGTATTTCTCAAAAAATATTCAGTTTAAGCCCTGAGTCTCAACATTTGGTGGATATTTGCCATCGGAGCTCATCCATTTTTCAAAAATTGGCTTAAAAAAAAGGTAATCCTTCTTCAGTCGGTTTTTGCGAGAGGCTCTCTCTCAAGTCTTAAAGCAAGGATTCCCCCCCTCGTTCATGTTAACATACACGCTGTCTGAAAATAATTTACTGTTGAAGCTTGCAATGATGAAAAAAGCAGAGCACTACACGTTTTTTAGCACCTTTCCAGTATTTGCATTCTTCTCTCTTCATTTCCTTTAAACTGATTCTTTATCTTTAACGACTTGATCACTGACAATTTTTTTTTTTTTTTTGCACGACATTAAACTCAAAAACCAGCGACTTTACTTTCTGAAATGACTGTAAATTTGGTAAAAGATATTGCTTATAAATGGGCCCATCCAATGACACTGTTTATATCTGCGTGTTGTGGGTCAATAAAAATAGCTTTTTTTACACCCATTGTGTTTTAGTCTCATGGGTCCCATTTTGACATAGTATTTTTTTTTTTTTTTTTTTTTTGTCATCCGTGCGTTGTTGCACCTCTTTTTACGTTTCTTTTTTCAGGGCCCGCCTTCGCCTATTGTTTCTTGGCAGTGTAATGGTATACAAAAAAAAAAAAAGTTTGGAAACGACCTGCACCCAGTCAAGAATATAAACATAGTTGGGTAGGCGTGTTACATTCCCCAGTGGGCACATTGTATATATAAAAAGGGAGCCTATACAATAATAATAATAAAAAGTGAGACGTAAACATTTACTCGGCATACCCCACACTGTTTTTTTTATAAATAAAAACAGGTCAGTGTGACCCTTTCGTTATTGCTTTTTTTCCCCTTCTCTACTTTTTTTTTTTCTTTAGAATGAGCACTCGTCAAGAAAGACCTTTGGGTTTACTAGAAAAGTACCAAACCTCGAAACAATTGACCCATGCGTATGGCAACATTACCATGACAGCCTTACTAGACCATGAGAGTATATCTCAACCTGCAGAGACGTTCTATATGCAATGTTTCGTACCGGCTCTCACGCGTCTCATCCATCACCATGCTGCACTTTCCATGGTTGTGCGAGACAAGACAGAAAACAGCATTCATTTCGAGCAATTGACCAGCATCGATCTTGACAAGGTCATCTGTATACGTTCCCCCATGTCCTTATCGCTACTCATCAAGGAACAAACCACCACCGAATTCGATCTGGATAGCTTTCTTCCACTTTGGCGTATCACTATTGTTCCTCAAACACCTACCACTTGCATCGTATCACTTGCTATGCATCATGTTCTTGGTGACGGTATGAGTTTATGTATTGTCTGGCAAGCTCTCTTACAGGCCTTGCAAACCACCACCACCGAAACAAAACCCACAGTCGATAAAGTCACAATCGTCAAGAAAATGCATCTTCCTTTACCTTATGAATTATCCAACGCACCGGAAATGTCCCTTGTATGGGACGTCGTCCCTGTGATCTGTAAAAGTTTGATTCCCAAGATCTTACCGACGTCCATCGCACGTCGATTGGACCCCTTGAGTTCGGAGGGTTGGCAAGGTGATTTTAAAGCGGCAGCCGATGGGGAGACCCATGACACACAAATAGGAACGATTCATGTGCCCTTGGATATTTGGAAACCCTTGGTGGAGGCCAGTAAGAAACGAGGTATCAGTCCGCATGCGATTTTGTTTGCGACCATGCTTTTGGCATGGAAACGATTGTATCCGGGACAGACCACTGAGGCAACCACCCCTATCAATTGTCGTGGATTGTGTCAACCTGCGGTCTCCCAAGACAGAGTGGGTAATTTTGTGGGCTCCCATACGAGTATTTGGACAGGTCAACAATTAGACGAGAGTGAAAAGGATATTTGGAAGATGGCTACCCGATACCATCAAGATTTACAGACGAACAAGAAGGAAGCAGCAAAACAAGCCTTGTTCTTAAAATACTTGCCAGAATTCCCTGCCTCTTATTGTGATTTTTGGTATGACAAGCGAAAGAATTCCAGGTTGGGTAGAACAGGCGGGTTGGAGTTATCAGATCTAGGTCGATTCCGTGATCCTGAAACAACTTCTTTGTGGAAATTAAAACAATTGTATTTCGGTCAAAGTGCTCAGATATTTACTTGTGCCTTTGGCTTGAATACCATTTCTGTACGAGATGAATTATATTGTACCTATGGTTGGCAAAAGGGTGCTTTGGATGAGGCTAAGATTGGCTTATACCATGACATCTTTATTGGAATCCTAAAAAATGTACCCTTTTAAAAAAAAAAAAATACATCTATTTTTTAATCACCGGACTTTTTTTTTTTTTTTTCCTGCTTTATTCGGGTAGTAAGCTTTTTTACACATACATATATATCTCTCTCTCTTCTTATTCAACATGCAAACAATCAAATGTGTAGTTGTTGGTGATGGTGCAGTTGGTAAAGTAAGTAGGCTTTTAACAAAAAAAAAAGTCACGACAAGAGCAAAAGACAGTAATGGAACTCTCTTTCTCTCTTTCATCTAGACATGTCTCTTGATTTCATATACGACCAACAAATTCCCTTCTGAATATGTTCCTACTGTAAGAGTTTATACCTCAGAAAAAAAAGGGGGGTGGTGGGGAGGGGAACAAACGCGCGCGCGTGTGTGTGGGGTGTGTGTGTGTTTTTTTTTATATAAGCGGTGATATTGAAGTATACATACACAAAAAAAAAAATCTAGGTGTTTGATAATTATGCAGTGACGGTCATGATTGGAGAGGAACCTTATACATTAGGATTATTTGATACAGCGGGGCAAGAAGATTACGACCGTCTTCGACCTTTATCGTACCCACAAACGGATGTTTTCCTTGTCTGTTTCTCAGTGACATCACCTCCTTCCTTTGAGAACGTAAAAGAGAAATGGTTTCCCGAAGTGCATCATCATTGTCCTGGCGTACCTTGCTTAATTGTTGGAACACAGGTTGATTTAAGACAGGATCCAACCATCATCGAGAAACTGACACGACAAAAGCAGAGACCCATTTCCTTTGAGACCGGTGAACGTCTGGCTCGTGAATTGGGTGCTGTGAAATATGTAGAGTGCTCAGCACTGACACAAAAGGGGTTGAAAAATGTGTTTGATGAAGCCATTGTGGCTGCATTAGAACCGCCTGTAAAGAAGAAGCCTGTCAAGTGCAGTATCTTGTAAAATAAAAAAATTCCCTTAGTCTAATAATCTCTTCATGAATGAAACCTACCGTACACTTTTTTTTTTTTTGCTTTTCTTCAGTCTACACACTCTTTAACTGAATGTCTTTGACAGTTGCTTACAAATTCTAAACAATTTACTTAGAATGTCATTAAAAGAACGGAGTACATGTATATATTCATACATGTCAATAGGTAGTACTCTCCCCTTATAGATACGGTGTGGCGCTACTGTAAAACATATCAAATACATTGCCTTTTGTAATGTTACATTTGGGGTCTACTACTACTACTGTCTCTGAAATAGTGTGCTTTTGGTGGGTGCGGAATATAAACAACGCACTAATCAAAATGAAGTATTGGACTACCTTTTTTTTATTTATTTTTTATTTTGTATGGGTGCTAATTTTTTTTTTTTTCCTTCTTTTCCCTTCTTATAACAATCAAAAAAATAAAATAAAAAAAGATGTCAACTAGAGTTTATATTGGTCGTCTTGCTCGTGATGCTACTAAGCGTGATCTCGAACGTTTGTTCAAGAACTATGGAGATATCCGTGAGATCAATGTCAAGACAGGTTTCGGTTTTGTCGAATTTGCTGATGAAAGAGACGCTAAAGATGTTGTTTATGACTTTCACGGCAAAAACTTTCTTGGTGAAAGGTAAGAAAGAAAAAAAAAGAGAGAAAGAGAGAGAGAGATAAACCTCTGTTTTCGTGTGGCATAGGTGGTTTTTGATAGTTAACCTCTTTTTTATATTTTTGTTAGATTAATCGTTGAAATTGCTCGCGGTGCTCGCCGTAACGATGAGAGACGTAACAATGGCAACGATCGGTAAATATATTTTACACAAGAAAAAAAAAAGTAGTAGTAGTAGTAAACTGAAAGAAAAATTTCTTTGCTTTTTTTGGACAGTCGTCGCTCTCACTATAGATTGATTGTGGAGAACATTGCTTCTGGCACTAACTGGCAGGTACGCATCGCTTTTGTCTAAAAATTTAGGAAGGGCTTTTTTTTCTCATCAATGGGCCGCTGGCTTTCTCTCTCTCTTCCCCTCTCTTTCTCTCTTTTTTTTTGTGGAAAATCTCTTCCCCATCTCTTCATAGGATCTCAAAGATATGATGCGCAAAGCTGGTGAAGTCACTTTTGCCGATATTTCTCGTGAGCGCTCATCCGAAGGGTAATTATTTATTTTTGCAGGCCTCTTTTTTTTATTATGACTAATTTATAAAATCTTTATGTAGTATTGTTGAATTTGCTGTACGTGATGATATGGAATACGCTCTTAAAAAGTTGAATGATCGTGAATTAAACGGTCAACGTGTTACTCTTCGTGAGGTAAAAAAGAAAAAAAAAGAAAAAAAAAATTAATATAGACTTATTTAGCGTGCATTCTAATTGTTTATTATTTTATTTTATTTTTTGCAGGATACTGGTCGTAGTCGCTCTTCTCGCCGTAGTCGCTCTCCCTCCAAGACCAGAAGCGTCTCACCTCCTCGTCGTCGTAGACGTCGTTCACCTTCTGTTTCTCGATCTCGTTCTCCTCCTCGTCGTCGTAACCGTTCTCCCTCTGTCTCCAGATCTCGTTCTCGTTCTCGCTCCATGTCCAGATCCAGATCTCCTATTCGTAAGAGAGAGAAACGTGATGCTTCTGACCGCGAAGATAGTCGTGATGCCAGAGTCAAGTCAGAGTCCAGAAGTAGATCTCGTTCTCCCGCTAGATCTCCTGCCCGCTCTCCAGCTAGATCTCCCCCTCAATCTCCCGCTAGATCCCCTGCTCGTAGCGAGGGAAGGTAAGCTCCTCCTTTATAATTTTATCAACTAAAAAAACTCATCTTTCTCTCTCTCTTAGTCCTATCAGAGAAGATTAAATTTTTTAAAAACGAAAAAAAAACAACAAAAAAAACTACAAAATAATAACAGAATATACATGACAACCTTTTCTTTCTCTCTTTCATTTCTTTTTTCCTTTTTTTTTTATCATTTGGCTGTTTTCTCATGTCTAATTATTTGAAGCGATTGTAACATTAAAAAAAAAAAGAGCATGGGAGGTTAGAGACCCTTTCCATGAACACCCATTAACGCTTTACTAGGTATCCATGGCAATCCCTAAAACTAAACTGGAAAATGAATAAGGCACAAGTGTCACCCACCAACGTGACCTCGCCATTACTACCTCAAGTTGCAACTGCCAAAGCGGTCCAAAGACTTTTGACATGCATTGACAAACGGTCCTTAAACTTTACTGTGATAAAACGAGTCTCGAGCATACCTCATGCAGGTAAAAATGGGTGTTCTTCAGTCATGATTTGATTGATAAGAATTTTTTTTTTTTTTTTTTTGAAAGGAAATGGAGTGTATTTTCAAGGACAGAAACAAAGGAAAGGAACGATCATTTGCTTCTATCCAGGTACGATTTATATGCCAGCTGAACCCATTTTGTTTGTGAGTTTGGGAAACCAGTATATTTTAAAGTGCGTGGATGGATTGTACGTGGATGGGAAACCTACTGGATTATCAGGAAAGGTGTACAGATCTTTATATAAGCGTGAGAATTGGCCTGGTGCTATCCAGATAAGTGATTGGACCTGGTTGAATACAGATAATCTAGCGTAATTTTTTTTTTTTTTTTTGTACGTCATATTACGACATTGACCTCTTTCATTATTTTATTTTAGTAATCCTTTGGCTGTGGGTCAATTCGTCAATAACGCTACAGTCGATTACAAAGCCAATGGTAAACCCCAAATTAAATATGTATAAAAATAGAAAACAGTAACATGTTTTTAGTTTGTTATCAAGAGATTGATTTGCCTATCGATTTTCCTCATGCGCTTAGACGACTTATACCGAATATGTACTGGGACACTTTTCAAAACCCATTGACGACGAGTCCAATGCGAGTGGTTGCATTAGTTGCGATGGATGATATTGAGGATGGTGACGAATTATTTGCCACTTATATGGACATCGTCTAAAAAAGAAAGAAAAAAAAAATAACGTTACATCCCCACACACATATATTTTAGAGACTAAAAAAAAAAAAGAAAGTTTGTTATCTGATAGAAAGAAAAGGGGGAAAACAAAAGTGTGTAACTCCCCAAGTGTAATGTTTATCATATCTTTTGTGGAAATTCCGAGCATCCCGCTCTCTCTCTCATGAAAAATAAACAAAACACTGATTAAATTTAGTCAACATGCTTGTCATTGGATACACACACAAGTGACACAAATAGATAAGTTTTGGGTTATCGTCCAATCAAATTACAGATGAATCATTTTAATAAATAAAGAAGATTTTTTATTTTTTTGGGAGATCGTGAACGATCTGATTAGATGGTTTATTTTTATTTATTTTTTTCTATTACTTGTGAATTCTATTACTTTTTTATTATTAAATAAAAAAAGAGTTTGATGATAGGAGGGAAAAAAAGAAAGTTATATACAGTAAAGAAAAAGGGAATATTGCAATATGTAATAATTTAGTGTGGAAAAAAGAAAAAAAAGGTGGGAGAGAGTAAAGGAAGAAAAAAAAGAAAAGAGGGGGAATATTAAAATTTACATGATGTTAGGTTTAGATTTCTTGTTGTTGGGGGGATATATAAGTTTCTTATAAAGAAAGTAAATTTTTGTCTTGAATGGGGTTGTTGTTGCTGCTAATGAACCACTTAAAGTATTCATACACACTCCAACTGATGGCAGCACTAGGCATGACAGTAAGCACTCTAGGCTTAAAACCTCTAAAGAAACCTCGAGCACCATATCTTTCCTTGATGATATGAACAGCGTCCATTAAACCAGAAGCATTACGAATACGTACATCAGCATTTTGTCCTCGAGTTTGAAGTAAAGTTTTGACCACATCCAAGGGTGTTGTGACAGCAGAAGCAATAGCACCAGCAAGACCACCTGCAATGGCATGGGTCTTGGGGTCATATTCACCTGTAGGATTAATGACTTTACGGAAATATTCATACGTGGCAAATTGGATGGATTGAAATGGAACAGACATAGTTAAAGTGGTAGGGAGTGAAATATAAAAAGCAGCAATGCCTTCCTTGGTATAAACACTACGTGCACATTCTCTCACTGTTCGATAAGCACTATCACCTAATTGCATACGTTGTTTAATCACATCAAATGGATTCATCAGTGCGTCGTGAGCAAGTGTGGCACATGCACCAGCAGCAGCCGTTGTTAATGGGTGATGTCCACCAGCGTTGCCTCCAAATGCTTCTTTACAGGCTTCGTAGGTCGCAAAATGGACTGCATGCGCAGGTCCTGCTCCCATCACTACAGAGTTTACACCACGCCAAAGGTTACGTGAAGCTACTTTCATTCCCTTGTAGTTGCTACCTTCTGCAATGGCAGCCGAATGAAGATGACGATGAGGGTGGTGTTGGTGGCCAGCAGTGACGGCAGCTGCTGCCGTGGCAAACACTTGAGGTCTAGCAACAGACTGAATTACTTGCATACGAGTCTATGATAATAAAAGAAAGAGTTAGAAAAATGAAAAACGTTGCTTTTAATATCTCTCTCTCTCTGTTAGTACCTTGATACTATCGACAGGATACATGGCACAATGTTCAGCAATACCAGCAAGAGCACCAGCCATGGCATCTTGACCAAGGGTGGCGTTGTTTCCAAGGGATTCGTAATCATAGTCGTCTGTCATTTTGATGTTTTTAAGAGAAGGGGGGGTTTATTATTATTATTTTTTTTAGTGGAAAGGAAAAAAAAAAAAAGAGAAAAGGTAAAGAAGAGAAAAAGGGAAAAAATAAAAAGAAAATATTTTTTTTTTTTATTTATAAAGAATCAGATACGGAAAAAAAAAAAAGCCTCTCTCCCTTTTTGTAAACCCCATGAGCCAATCAAGTTTCATCTGATTATTTCACGGCCCTGTGCCCACATCCCTTTGTTGCACAAATATATATCTTAAATCGAATCTGATTATCAATAACAAAAAAAAAAATATTTGGAACCACACTCCCTGCTCAAACATTCTCAACCAATCAGAATTCAGAATAAAATCTGATATAATTTTAGACTTTTTTATAGAGGGCTGATGTCCGTAACTCCCCACAAACGCATGCACCGTGTTTTTAATCTAACTCTTGTGACCCCTTCTCTCTCTTTCTATATATATGTGTATTACATGATTGTATATAAATACACCCATTCAAAAAGAAAAAGAAAAAAAAAAAAGGCTTTCTTTTTACTTTTTTATATTTAGGGAAATACATGTGTTGCTTGAGGTACAAAGATAATCTATAAAAAGTCTTTTTGTACATCACGCATCCCCCCATGATTGTGCAACAATTGCATCTGATAACAAAAAAAAAATTATATATATTAATTTCAATTTCTCCCCTTACCCAAAAATACGACAATACAACGCTAACACGCATGGACACAAAAGTCTATTTATTTCGTAATTGTTATCATTATTTTTTGTTTATGTTGACATGGTAATGACGGTTTTAAATTTGCGACGTGTTTAACAAAAAAGAGAATCCATTATCAGATTGTAGGTCCGTTTCTCTTTGTTGATTGAAAGTCCCTTTTATTTTTTCTGTAATAACCCACCTTCAACCATGACTCACTCAATAAAAAGAGTGTACTACCTATACAATGGAAATGGTCCTGTAGCATCACACATCATCATGATCTCAAACCTCCTCTTCCCCCCTTAAATGGGAATGGCCGTTCTGTTGCGGTTTGAAAAGATTCATAAAAGGGGTTGCACAAGATAATAGAAATGTCATAAGCCGCGCTTTTGGTGGGGGATGGACCGATGGAATTTATATCATTCATCCGACTGGTGGATTGACAATGCGAAATTGTCCGTAATAAGTAATACGTTTTAATCCATAAAAAAATCAACCCCTTGTGCGGATTACAATTCTTCTTTTTTCTCACTGCAGACCAGAATGATCAACCTAGGCCTTTCTTCAAATCACGTAAACATGAATTATTCAAGTATCACTCGACTTGGAATATCAAACGCATTTATTATGCTTTTATTATTATTATTCTTTTTTTCACTCGCCGGTCTGTGCTTGGGAAACAGTCGGGGAACGTAGTTTTTTTTTTTTTTTTCTAAAGGGTCCAACAAACTCAATCGTCTACTAGATACGATTGCCTTTTAATCAATCTTTAACTACAAATCCTATCTCTTCACTTACTTATGATAATATTATTCTAATGAACAACCTACCAATATCAAAAAAAGCATGTGTATGTGTGTCACTGAAAACAGTGTTTCTGTCGATGACTATAAACAGCATTTATAACAAGTTGAATGCTGCTTGGATATGGTTGTTACTACGGAGTTTCCTCTTCGATACGTAGTATACATTGGCTGGTTGCAACAATAGAGGTATGTAGAAGAGAAACGGTCAAGGAAGAAGAAGAAAAAAAGAAAGGGAACTAACGAATTTGTTTATACAAAAAAGTGTATTATCTCACTGAAGTTGATTGCTTTTCTAATCAAACAATAGAAATCATGAAACTTATGGTATGAAACAATCAGGTAAGCATGCTATTCACGCACATTGAGTTGGAGTAGACTAATTTTGGAAGTCGTACTGTAAAAAAGAACATCACATTGCTGCTCTCAAAGCATTCATGACACATGTGTCCATAATGCTTTTCCACTCATTCATAGCACTGGTTTGTCACGATGAATGAAGAGGATATACTCTTTCCCGTCACTTGGTTTCTTCAATTTCAAAAATCACTTTTTCTGATCTGGTGTTTGTGTACAACATCATGACTACAACCTTGTTTTGCGTGACAGTAAGTGTCTGTCGGAAGAAAAAAAGCCAGCTTTACCTGGTTAAGCTAATGAATTCAGTAACGCATGAATTATATTTTTTCTTTCAACATTAATTCCCCCTCTTAACCCGAGGCTCCGTAGAAACCCCCCTTGTCGGAAATACAAAAAAAAGACGTGGCCCTTCCCAAAAAAGAGCGTGTTGCTTGGCCTTTTCCCGTTAAAAAAAAAACATTCCCTGGGATAAACTAATCTTGCATTCCCCTTCTTCCCCGCCCACCCCCTCCAATTCGGAATTATAAATCCCCGGCACACATCAATGTCAAAAAAAAAAAAAAAAAAAAAAAAAAAAGGAAAAACGGGAAGAAAACATACTAGAATGACCCAACCAAGTATTGAAGGATTTTATAATCAACTAGCGAATACAAATAACATGTTTGCTTTCTTTACACTTTATCAATTTTAGGCAATTGAACACTCACCCCCCACGAGAATAGATTACAACAGCGCTTTATATAGTACAAATTAAAAAAGAAGTCCCCCTTTAAATACATGTTAATCTTGATCATCTTTTGTGTCACAAACAACAAACATATTTAAACAAAGCTTTTGAAACACAATTTGATTTTCCCCTCAAAGAATTATTATAATGCATTATTGTTTTTGAGTTATACTAACAACCTTTTTTCGCATTTCTACTTTCTACCTATGTTGACCTCTTTGCTGTCTAGTACAGATGAATTATATACCTGCAATCCCTTTTGTTATTATTATTATTACATGTCGATGTGGCTTACACTGAAAGTCGCGTATACCAGATTATAATCTTATAATTAGATTACCAGCCCAGCTACTGTTGTTGTAAAAGGGGTGTCTTACCCGGCTTCCGATCCCGATCTGTTGTTTATACTTGTTTTCAACAGGTAAAAAAAATCTTGGGGTATTTAAAACCAAGTCATGATCAAAGTACTGTCAATAAACTTAGAGAGGGGAGTTCGAATAGTGTGCACCCTATAATACTTCAAAAAAAAATTTAAGATCATTTTGACCTCCGTGTAGGCTACAATTTGACGTCAAATTTTCATTCTACTGGTAAAAGCACAAAAAAGTACAAAAAAAAGTACAAAAACAAAAAATTAAAGGCATTTCGTCATCAAAATTTAATTTTTTATTTATTGCCGGGAATGGGCTTTGGGATTTTGTTCCTTCTTTCAACTATTCATAAAAAAAAATGGCACCTAAAAAATCAACTATTGATAAAAAAAAGACAGCTAGAAAATTTATAAGAGAAAAACGCAAAACCCTCGATTACCTTACTGATGAATTCCTTACAGAATTGGACGAGTTGGTGTCCTTCCGTCGAGATGCTAAAGAACGACGTTTGAATGATTATAGTAGTGTTACTGGAATACCTGCGGTCGGATCTTCAGAAGAAGAAGAAGAACGACAACAACAACAAAAACAACAACAACAAAAACAACAACAACAAAAACAACAACAACAACAGCAAAAACTGCAACAACAGCAAAAACTGCAACAACAGCAAAAACAACTGCAACTGCACATACAGCAGCAGCAACAACAGCAACAACATGACAAGGACAATTGTGACGGTGGATGCTCTGGTGGAGACAATAACTACCAAGAGCAGCAACCAGTAGCTCTTAGTGAATCTGAAACCGATACTGAAGTCGAAGCTGTCATCAGTCAGTCCAACACTACAACTGTCAACGACAAGATCCAGTACAGGTCCAAGCAAAAGAAGTCCTTTTTGGCCTGGAAAGATCTCATGAGGGTCTTGCCAAAAGCTTACCTTGCTTTCTTGAGTAGAAATGGTGGCATCCCCACAATGATAAGTGAACATCCTGGTTCTCTGGTTCCCTGTGAGTGTCCTGTTGACCGTCTTACAGTTGTGAAGGTCGATTTGTTTTTGTTTCTGGTATAGTGTAGACTCTAATCACATAATTGTTATACTTATTTATTTATTTAGTTGTGAAAGCTAAATGCGACTTCCAATATTGTGGAGGCTGTAAGACATTGCCTGTTGCATTGGTGGAAGCAGGCATGTTCCCCCTAGCACCAATCAGACCTACGGCTGCATTGCATTTCAGCCTTTGTGATTTTTTTGTCAACCTAAGAAACATCTTTGCAGGCTCTGCTGAAAAAATTGCAGAATTCTATAAGGTCTGCGCAAATCAGACAGCTCAGGTACAATCTATTAGAGAAAGTCATTTTTTTTTTCTAAAATATTATGTAGACCAATCTCTCGGCTGATAGATGCTCCAACAGCATCATTCTATACAACAAGATGGTCAAGTTGTCTGAACAGTTGGTGATGGGGGATATTTCCACATCATGTGCTGCTTGTCCTGAGGACAATTGAGTGTGATCGATTGCAATTAAAAAAAAAAAAGTTCTTCAAATGTAATCAACAATTGTATAATTATCAAAACTTGAAGAATTCAACGTCTACCAAACATAATGTAGTGTTTTAAAAAACTGGGTTTAGTTTTCTTGTTTCTGAAGAAATATATTGAGCTGTAATATTCATGAACCCTTTTATCTGGCTTGCTAGACTAGATGTTAGTTCATTTAAAGACCAGAAACAGGATTTATAATGCGAGCGATGATAACAAGATAGAGTGTAACTGTAACTAAAATTGCGATTACAAAAGAATTCGCAAATTAGGTTCTAAACAATTTCATCGCTGATTGTGTTATAATGGCTATAGGTATCTAAAGTAGTTAACGTTAAATGTACAATTGCGCATCTGCTTTGGTGTACTTACCTAGACTTATGGCAGTTAAAATACATTATAATTCTCATTGTTTGTATATACATTGATAGACTTTTATTCCTTGCACAATGAATGCTTATAATAATATATATAAAAAATATACGCAATTCATAAAAATCCTGATTTAGCTATTGAATAAAAAGTCTCTATAAAAGTAAAAAAAGACTAATTGCGACGCGCATTGTGTATTGTCTACCTATCTGTGTAACCGTTTTCTTGTACGAGACAAAATTCATTGTTCTAAAACGCACTTTTTTTTTCTTTTTTGCTTGTGCCCTATTTTACAAATTGTACACACTATATTTGGTCTAACCGTACTACTGAACATCATTCTTAATCTTTTGATACAGTGTGGCCATGTACTACCACACTATACGGTTTGACAAAATAGAGTTATGCTCACAGACATCAATGAATAATTTTTTATATATTTTATTATAATAAACCTGTAAGGTTCCAGATATAAGTATTCTAGCTGAAACATGATAGCGCCTAATCAAGGACCGATATATTTATTCTCATTTAAAAAAATAATCTCGTTTTTATCAGTCTGATCGAGTCGATATATAAAAAAAGTTGCTTTCGCGCTACTTATTATGCTACGAAAAAAAAAAGATTCTTAACTTTATTGTAAAAAATACGACATTTTGGTTTCACGGGCCAAGTTGTACAATAGCATGAATTTGGGGGGAACAAGTGAACACAATGATGAAACTATTACGTACAAAGTAAATAAAGAAGATAAGCGGGTATACCTATAATCTATTTTCTATCGATTTTTTTTTTTTGCTTGGTATTATTTGGATTTATATTTTTATAATTATATATATATATAAGTAAATAAAATCTATGTAAATAATGAAATCATTTGCAGAACTCCAGACATCTGCAATATTCAATGAAGAGGCTTTGGTAATGTTATTAAAATTAGTAAGTTTATCTGATCGATTTTTACAAATCAGTATTATACCAAGTTCATTTGCCCCTTTTGATAGCATGAATTCTTACATCCCTTACTAGAATAGGATCAATTTACCTTTTAAACTTGGTGCTACTCCTACTATTCCTGCTTGATCATTCCACGTTGTTGGAAATAGCAATTTTATTTTAATTGCAAAAAAAAAAAAATCTGACCAATTAGTTCCATTTAAGGGGATCATACAGACCATTTAATTGACAGTTGTACCTGAATCTGATTAATTTATTTATCTAGCACTGAGAGTCAATGCATTGTTTCTCAATCCTTAAAACTGTGCGATTCTTATACAATAAGACCACTTTTAATGCTGTATCATGTTTATATGACTTGAGTAGGTGGGCAGATAGGACAAAAGAACAAGCTATACATCAATGTTTTGGATTTGTAGCAAACATGCTTTTTTGCGGTAGCTCACAAAATTCCAATGAAAACGTAGCGCGAGCTATCATGGGACACTCTATTGAATAGTTCTAATAACTAAAAGAATGATCCTTTTTTTTTATGAGAGCTAGAGCTGCTTACAATTTAATTATTAGATTAAGTGAAAGATACAAGTGTCCATAAAAATAATCATGTTTTATAACGACAATACTTGATTAGATATCATGTAGTAATTTTTGGTTTGGTTTGCAATTACTCACAGATGATACCACCCCCTCCAATTTTGTTTACGGAGTAAGATTCTGTCAGCATTTCTATGTATAGTCCATTTTTTTATTGTTCTGTCAGAATCAATAAACATTCCTTAAAAATCTGGTTGTTCTCGGTTAAAAAGTGTTAACTAACATTTTATTTTTTGATTTCCGTTTTTATCTGAGGCATACTTTGTATGGCCTTAATGCACGGCTTTATGCTATATAAATAAAAAAAAAATTGCACTTTTTGTAAATCCAACATACCTATTTGAAGAAAACTGAAATAACAACCAGGATAAATGTTTACCCGGAATGCAAAATCAAAATAAAGCAAAAAGAATGCGGCTAAAGTGGATCGAACACCTGACCTTCAGATCTTCAGTCTGACGCTCTCCCAGCTGAGCTATACCCGCTTACATGTTTTTAGAACTTTTATTTAATATAAATTCAACTAAAAATTAAAAATATGTATCACGTGATAATCACGTGTATCAATTATGATTGGATAATATACGTTCCTATACGCGCCCTCGTTCATTATTCTTTTTGAATATGGCTTTTTTTTGCCATTGATATGCATGTCGCTCTAATGATTCATTATTGTATTGCTACATTCTTATGAATTTTTGGGTAAGAATTATCTACATTTGTCATTACTCCTGGTGGGCATTAAAACAAAGTTTAAAAAAAAGAAAAAGGATACAAAAAATATATATAAAGAAGAAAGAAGGTATCTAAAAATATTTAAATAAGGCACTGAGGTAGTGGGGGGGGTTGAGGATTAATGGTGGGAGGTATAACTCTTCTGACGTTTGGTAGTGGGGGTAAAGAAAATGGGGTTGGTGGTATCGTCCTCTTCCATCTCAGCTGCAGAGCGTAACTTGTTTAATTGACGGCTCAATTTGCTTCTTTCAATGGCAGGTTCCAAGATAGTGGCTAGTTTTTCGTGGTGCTGTTTGATCTTGTACAACATGTCCAGCGTATTCACAATGAGCGAAAGAGTTGAGAGGGTATCAGGGACAATAAGGGTACCAGCGTCATACATAACGTACACATCATTGAGCTTCTCAACACTGTAGACACAACCCACAAGACCTGTGATGCACAGTTAGGGCGTATGAACCCTGATGACAATAACATTTTGAACTTACCCAGCCATTCCATTCCAACTACACACAATGAAGCATCCTCACCACACAGACTTAACATTTTCTTCAACATGGATGCATTCGTTCTGATATTTTTGATATGTTGCTGTTCAACAGTAAGGGGGGAAGTTGCTTGTTTTTTTTCCACTCTGAGCTACTGATTTCACATCCTTTATCACTCACAACCAAGTCAATTTTTCTTCCAGTAGACTTCGCATCATCATCACAGAATGCTTTTTGATTGGCTTTTTGCTCGCTTTTAGTTGCTTGTGAACAATTTTCGCCACTAAAAAGATTTGTACATTGTTGTGTTTTAAGGTAAAGTTAAATTATAAAAAGACTATAGTAGTAGTTTGAGACTGTTTATAAGATGTCCTTTATTAATAAATGAAATGTACGAGTATTTATATAAAAGACTGTCTGCTGTGTTCATATCTCTAGTTCTATCTTGAAGTTATCATTGATAAACCAAAAATGTATACGATTATTACATAGTCACTAATTTAGTCTTGTTATAATAAATGTTAAGCCTTCTTGTACTAAATTAGACTTGTGATGTAATATCCTTATAGTTCTTACTATGACATTTCTTGCTAAGCTTATATCACAAATGGTATCAGCACGGATAAACCTTTGTTAGCTCTAATATGGCTATAGCCTTGCTAGGTTACCACATACATATTAGTATGCTATCAACGTGGGCATCCTATTCAACGACAAACCTACTCAACCAATTTTAAGGAGCTGTTGTTTAAGATAATATCCATGATGTGAGCAGTGACACGGTAGAATGCTAGCTCACTGCTGTTTCGTTGTTCTTTTCTTCTCATTATCAATACAAGGTATTCGATCACATCCAAGGCCTGCATCTCTATAGATTTATGACGTCGACCCTCGAGCAACTGCAGCTTCTTCTCGGCGATCTTCAATCTCAAAGGTAGTTCCTCTGTAGTTGCCTGATAATATTGCTTTAGTAAGAAAAGATGATTCAATTCCATGAATTTGTATTTACCTCTATCAAATTTTGCATGGTATTCTTAACTTCTTCAGACAATCCGATGACAGTGGTAAAATGAGTACAATGAGATTTGGCTTGCTCGAAAGTATTCTAATATTTGGGCTTTGTTTATCAAAGTAGCGTGCGAAGACAGTTGCAGTTGGACCAGAAAAGCAGAGAATATGACTAACAGAGAGCCTATGCACAATATGTTGTAGTATTTGACGCCTAATTCCACGAATACAATTACTTTTATCTTGTCACTCAATTATAATACATATAACCTATGTATTAAAAGTACCATATTGCGAATACATTCCTATTGGTACGACGCAGTGCCAGCTCTCTCATATGTCAAACTGAGATCAGATTTCATAATCGCTCCTGGATTGGTCGAGTAGCTGCCGAAGCTTCTAGTTTCTCATAAATTCATTTTAGTAATCCAATCAAGTACCCTGTCATTGAATGGATAAACTATAATGCTCTAGAAGTGCCGGATATGCGTCAACTAGCTCCTTGTATATAACAATAATCTATGTGTCATATGTAACTGATTTCTGAATCTAATTCTACCATTTCCCAGTTTGCGGGTAAATAGTCAATTTGATCTGCGCAGGAAAAATCTTGAAGTAATAATTGAATATAAAAAGGACCTCTATTTTTATCAGGACAAACTCTCCAACTTATAATAAAGGATTATAGAGTCTCATGTCTTTACTTGCTTTATTTTCCAATTTACATTTCCCTTTTTATTTTTCAATTATCACATATGTGTTAGACTACTGATTTTAAGCATTGACTCACAGCACATTCTATACTTACTTGAGAGCATTCTTCTCGTTGGGACTCATATTATTGTTCAAAAGGCAGTACGAAAGCAAATCTAATGCTTCAGTTAAGTTTCTTGACACGAGACCTTGAGCCAGTTTGTTGAGCCTTGCTACCAAGAAAAGATCCAGTTCTCCTTTAAACTACAAGAAGCAAATAGATGTTTAGGTTCGCATATCATAATTCGTGAAGGTTTCTTAGTCTGATATTACTTACATGTAAATACACAGCTTTGTAAATCTCTCTTCTGAATCGCTCTTGATTGTTCATTGCCGAGTCGTCTTCATCTTGTTCATCAAACAGAGAAGCAAACTTGTCTCCAACCGCAGTTTTGGTAGCTCCCGTGTCAAATGTAGAAGCTAACGAGTCAGATGTAGAGGCCTGATCATCAAATGCAGTAGTAGTAAGCGTACTAGATGTGGAGATGGGTGCACCAGACGAAGCAATATGTGTCTCATCAAAAGTGCTGCAGATCCTGTAGTGATAGAGCCATTTTGTTTAGCAAGCATGAATGGAAAAAAAAGGTAGTATACTCACGTTTGTGTTCCTTGATAATTGTTGAACATATTCTTGGCTGTATTTATATTAACATTATATAATGATTTTTTGGTTCCGGTTCGTGTTTCTTTTGTATTTTCGTACTGCTTTATCAGAGATTTCCACTAATTTATCCATTCGTTTGCTTTCGCGACTACTTTGAAGTCCTTTTTCAAAATTCAATCAAGTACACTAAAGCTGTCTTCATGATTCAACAATAGCTCCTCCTTGATGAGATCGACAACATCTGGAAAGCTCCAACTGTTATAGAGCATGTCGTTTAAATATGCTATCGCTCTTTGAGGAATTCTCATTTTTTAAGCTGTGAAAAGGCAACCAAATACTCGGAAATGTCTAGACCTCCGTATTTTTTTCAAACGTATTTTTTTTATACTACTTTCAGAAATTCTGGCCAGAAGCTAAGACCAGCAGGCCAGTATGTTTGCACCTATTTAAAATGCATCCCTGCTATTCACAGTTCGTGAGTTCCAAAAACTCAAGAACTCTGCGTAGGAGGTCGCTCTCCTATAGCAAAGACTAGCCGCAGCCGCAACATCACAATATATCTTTTTCAATTTAGCTTCTTTTCAAAGAAACAAGAGTCACTACTAAACAAACCTTTTTACGTGATCGGTTACTTTTCGTACGATAAAAGAAGTATGTTAAGGGAAAAGAAAAGAAGAAGAATAAAGTGTGTGAACCAGCTTTATTTATAGATAAACAAGCTTATGTCAGGATGATTCCATTTGTCTATTTTATCATCCATAATGTTTGAGCCTTTACTTAAAATAGAAACACTTGCAAAAACCTCCCAAGCAAGTCAGAGCTTGGTAATTGTCTGTCTGCGTTCCAATAGTAGCTTGTAATGACAGTGAAGCAGATTTAATGGAAAACAGAAATCGATCATCCCATGAAGTTTAGATGATTCTAAAAAATACGTTTGAAAAAAATACGGAGTTCTAGACATTGCATAATCCCAACATTACGACTACGCGCACCCTGGCTGTCCCTAGGAAAAATGGCTGTCCGTAAGAGACCCGTTCACAAATTATGAGTAACCTTAACACAATGGGTGGTCCAGTACGTGATTCATGAATATATTTTACTTGATTATTCATCCTAATGTGATGTGTATACAAAGTCTCTCCTTTAATTGCTTTATAAAGTTTAGTTTATTTTTACAGGTATGGTAATCATATATTTTGTTTGAGTTATAATCATTCGATTTGCATACCTTTCTGGTGAGTTAGAAGCGACGGACTCCCCTTATGGCCTCTGATTTTCAGCACCGTTATGCTCTTATTTCATTGCTTGGACATTCTTTTGACACTTTTCTAAGCAAGTCTATAGTCTTTGTTAACATAAATAACTGTGGAATACTTATGTACACATACCTTCAGCAGTGCTACCAGGACAACCGACTTAAATCAATGATGTTTTTAGTACCCTGTAAAATAATTGATACTTTGGCCTTGTAAACTTTTTTTCAGAGCATGGACTTTTTTGAGCAAAGTTCTAAACTCTACAAATGCAAAAAGTCATCTAAAGCAGGAAGATTAATAAAACAAAAACAAAAAAGTTGTAAACACATATTTAGAAACACGATTTACATCGGGGATGGATAAAGGCAATTTGCAGTCTTTGGGGGTGTTTGGAAGCTTGCCTTGCTATATTTTTTGAGCAGTGCATTGAAAAGGTTTAAAGCGCCAAATATATCCTTAACAAGGTCATACCCAAGTTCACCGCTCTCGTTAAACAAAAATGAGCTGGACGTCTACAGCAAGCAAATCTCGTTTCTGAGATCGTCAACAATGCAACCATTAGCCCAGTACAGCAGATACAAAAATATAGTGAGTAATGTACACTAAAAATAGTAGTTATTATTCAAGTAAACGTAAATCAATCACTCGTCTAATCCAGTGACTAGTTTTAGTAAGATCTGGGCACAATATTAGTGTCACAAATACAAGTGCTGCAATTTGAGAGTACAAAAAACTTTGAAGCAGGTAGTACCTGCCGTTCCATCAGTTAAAAGGAAAAATCGCTCCAGGTACTTTACCTAAGGTTAAGGGCAGAGTGTTGTAGATATAATTCTTATTCCGAAGTTAATAAATAATATTATATAATGGAATGGGTTATAACAAACAAAAGCAAACTACATATACGATGCTATAATCTTTTTGATTAAAAAACCTACAAGCCAAAACTGACAATCAAACTAAAAAAGAGAGTAGCTAAAACGAGGCACAACTACAGGATGTATTACCCCAAGAAATGTTGATGTTATGAGAGACAATGAAAAACACTAAAATATATTCACCACTTTACTCCTTGATCCTGCCACTACAGAGGGTTTCGCCGTCATTAAATACGTTAGACCGTAGATAAATTATTGAAAAGAAAAGCAAATTCTGTCCTTGGACACTCTTTGTTTGAGCGTGGATTTTTAAGACCGGGCGTTCTGACTTTTTTCCCGCCACCCGACACAGCACCTGAACTATCAATCGTCAATAGACCCGGACTCGAGTTGTTAGTTTCAATAATTTTAGATACAGCCATGCTGGGTGTAACGGAACAAATTTTGCTGATTTTTCAAGTTGTTGACACTCTAGCATTCACAAACCTGACACATTATTTTAAGTACTGTTTTAAGTAAGAAAAGCTGACTTCCGGGCATAGGATTATTCTTTTAGACTTTGACATACATGTTTATGTATTTTCCCGCTGGATCCGGACCGAATAAATGACATTTTTCTGGACAAAAGGTTGCTGATAATAAACTTAATTAAAAGGTCATTTAAAGTTACGGTGTAACGATGAGGTGAATACTCAGAAAAGTGAAGGCAATCCCAAATCTAAAGGTATCCTTCATTCGAAGAGCTGTAATATATATGCATAATATGTATTTCATTGTATACGTATTGCTTACTATCTTACAGTCCCGAACAGGCTTGTGATCTCCAGCTGTGTCACTTTGATTGTTGTTAAATAATGTGACATCGTCGGCGCTTCCAGGACAGTATTATATATACAATAAACCTGATGACACTTGATACAATAATAATCATACCATAGATCCCAATAAGTAACATAATGGTAAATGTAAGTTACTCACACGCTCGATTTCAGAAAAAGCAGATAGAAAGAACGTGTTGAAATAATAATTTCGTGGCACAATACAGCCGGAAAACTAACTTTTTGCATATCCTATCTATTTCACGGCCTTTTCTTTTCCTTTCCTATAAAAGTGCAATACTATGACAAGAGAACGAGATATACCCGACACACCATTCAACACCGTCAACGATAAATACACAACAATCAAACAATCATGTTTGATGAATTGGATCAATCTTCATTTCAACCTTTCAAATTTAGAAGAATTAAGGGATCTGCCAAGTTTTGTTTTACTCATACAGTCCTTGTACAGAAGGCATAAATTTGAAATATTAAATGAGCAAGATATTTATTTATTGCTGAACGAAATCAATTTAATTATACCCCTCTCTACCACTTTCCCTCAAAATATTATTGATATCTCAGCCTATAAAAGCGGGGATCACCACCAGTTAATGACACTCTTGGATATAGTCCAAAATCAGCACCAGGCTTATAGCATTATCCATACAATCTTACACAATCGGGAACTGTCCTTTACCATTCATGTAACGTATTATGGATAATAAAAAATTAATAATATCGCTAAACCATATAAGTAGGCCCAATGTGTACCCACTCGAATGGAAGACGTCAGAAAGCTTTTGTTCTCGTGGTCGACGTTTGTATTATCCGACTATACTTGTGCATCTTTAATATCTCCTTTGAAGGATTTCTCAGTAGCATCATGGAAATCGGGAACGTATCTATTAGCAATCATCCACTACCATAATCCGTCTCTTATATCGGAATTGTTTCCTCATCGACAGTTATCAGCAGCATTTCAAATTATATACGAGAACTATCAAATTCCAATTTTATTTGATCCTTCGTTAGATGATAAAGAGGATGAGTCGGCCATTGTTTCGTATCTTTTAGAAATTGTACCTTACCTTTTTGCTCCTACCGAAGATGAAATAGCACGCCGCCATAGTGATATTCAACGGTTTAAACCCTTTCACCAAACCAATACTGAAAAGGTCGAAGATTGTGATAAAAGCACTACTGTTACCTCTACTTTTTCTTTGCAGCAGCTTAAACTTACCAAAACTACGATCTTAAAATATGGTGATGGAACTGAAATACCTAATGATCTGGAGGAATTCGAGTCCAGAGTTTCGAATATTACTGCCAAGCTGAATGGGTTGCAGCATAGACTGATGTTAAATGTACCAACACGCACGTCAAAATATTCGCTTTCTTCTATCGACTCGATGGACTTTTCTTTAACAGAAGATAACACAACCGCATCAACATATCAACACAATGACAACGGTAGTTATACAAGTAGTATGATGAGTGGTGATGAAAACTTTCAACTTATCCAGCAACAGCAGCAGCAAATAATCAAAATACTTCATCCCCTACAAGCCGCCGAAGAAGATTATTCTGCTTACGATAGAAATTTTAAGTCTTTGCAATCTGAATTCCAAGCGTTGACAGATGGTGACATGTTTTTGCTACAAGCTTACCTGCAGGAAGAACTAAGCCCACAGTGGAGAAGTCATGCTAGAGTTGTATCCCAAAAAATGCACCTACTTCGCTTACATACCACACTATCTGATGAATTTGAAAAAGCAGAAGTAACTCTGTCCAATTTTCGAAGAGGATTCGCCTTTGCTCGTATGTGCTCTTCTATTCGACATGAGCTGGAATTCATTCAAAACAAGATGGTGAAGTCGATACTACAAATCATGATATTGACGAGTTAGAGGGTTATGTGGACAAGACAACTAATATGGTAGACACTCTGAAGTTGAACTTTAATGACCTGCTGATTACGGACACTGAAGAAAGTAAAGCTACAGCAGACACATCTTATTCAACAAAATTTGAATCGATATCAAAAAAGAATGAATTAGTCAGGACTTGGGTCGAAGAAATTCGCGTTTGGTTTCAAGAAGCTGCTAGAATTAGATATTGGATTGATGTTCAAGTTGAGAAAATAAACAGTACTAGTTTGCCGGACCCACTAACTTCTTTGGAATCGCCAGCAACGCTGGAGCAAGTACAAATATTCAACAAAGCCCACAGTCTGCTAGAAAAAGAAATCGAGTCTTTTGACCGGGAAGATATGACAAGACTTAGATCACACGTCAAAACCCTAACTGGCCCCGATCGAACTGACAAGGATTTAAGTCCTGCCGACACAACAACCATTGGAATAACCCTGACAACACTCACAACTTTGGATAAATTAACGCATTTACTAGCAAAAAAGAGCTACGATTTACAGGTATTAACTCGACGTGTAACATGGGAAGAAGAATTCTCCAACACGATAAAATGGTTAAAAGAAACAGATAGCCAATTAGACGAATTCCTGAAATCAAGTGCTCGTTGGACATTGGAGGAGGAAGATTTTGTTGAGGATCTTTTGAGAAGAGAAAGCCTAATGATAAAAGAGAAGCACAAAGAGGCTATTGTTCAGCAACTTTTGACATTAGAAAGGAAGATGGTTGAATTTGATCAGGGTCAATTTACAAGATCTGTGGATACTTTCCAAGATTTGGATAATACATCACGAGTTACACTACCAAGTTATTTAGAGTCTCGACAAGATCACTGTGAGCAACTGTTTGAGGATCTGATGAAACGTATGACATTCGCCCGAAATGTAGTCGAACAAAGGTTAAATGTCATGGATTTTTTGTATCAAACTGAAATGGTAATACATGATGCAAAATCACTTCAAATGGACTTGATTGACGCAGAGACAAAAGCATATCCGGATGATAATAATAGAGAATTAACAACACATGTTCAAGCAACCAACGAAAGAATTATGCAACTTGTTACATCAACTGCGAATCGTATACCATACCCTATATCTACTCTCACGATAGATCAAGTTTCAAACACTAAAGCGAATGAAGATATTCAAAGTATGGTTTCAGATAAACGTAACAGCTTGGTTTTATTAGCCGAGGAGTTAGACGGACAGTTGAATGCATATAGAGATATTCTGCAATTGCATAAACGCTCGAAAGAATACTTGGGAGATGCTATCCGTCTTTGTGACTGGTCGGATGAACGTGTTGAAACGATTCGAAAAGCAAAAGCCAACATGTATAGCATGGAGGAGCTTACTGTGGAAGATATCCAACAATTTGAAAGAGAAAATGACAGTATATGTAACAGGCTTCAAAATGGAAAAGAAAATGAAGTGGTAGACCTTTTGACACGTATACAATTACTTTTAGAGACTACACAAAAATTGAATTTGTCTTCTCTGGATAATGAAGGGTTAATAGATATATCACAGCAATTGGAGGGAAAATTTGATTGTTTACAGCAACTTTTGGAAAAGCATGCATTAGATATACGGGCGCTCCGAAAGAAGATAGAAGATGGCAACACTTACACTGAAAAGTCTCGACTACTCCGTACTTTTCTATGTAATACTCGAAACTCTTTGCCAGCTTTAAAACAAACCTGTGGATTCATGACCGGTCAATCAGAAGAGCAAGATAGACTTAGATTTGAAATGCTTAATAGTTCTTTAAGTAGAATTAGCTCAAGTTATAAAGATCAACAAACTCAATTTAATCAATTATGCTCTCATTTCAATTCAATGATACCCTCCAAAGTTGAAAATATGGAAGCCATGTGCGATATTCAACAGGGAATGGAAAGTGACTGGATTTTATTGGGCAAAGATATTAGCGAGGTTGAATTATTTTCGCAAAAGGTAGGCGAATGGTACAATTGTCAACGTCGGTTAAGCCTGGTAGAGAACCAGCTCCTATGTGGTTTAGATGAAGAAATTCTTGCCTTAACCAAATCAGGTTCATGGAAAGACGCAGATTTGGAAAACATTCAAAAAAGAATCCATGCTGCCTCGGAACATTTGGAAAAAACAGGATCTAGTATAGATGCGGCCGATATTAAAGAAGATCCCCTTCAAACAGCAAATTACTCCTGCGCTCGTGAAAGACATATAGCATTGACGAATAAAATCCACGCTGCTTTAAACAATTTAACAGTTCTCAAAAACAATGCCAGTACAGCAATATTATACACTACTTTTCATGAACATGCAGAGCAAGTGCTTACAGATATACATCACCAAAAAAGTACTATTGATGACCGTATGTCAAATATTGGTATAAGCGGATTTTCTTCTGGTTCTATAGAGTCTATGGATCTTCTATGCAAGCGGACGCAAACTTCAAATCTGGATTCCGAAAAGAGAGCTCGATTACTTTACAGGCGTATAGAGAAGCTCGTCTTGACAGCAAAAGATTTAGAACTTCAGGGTTACAGCAATATTTCTGTTCAGGAGCCGATTAGCAATATTAAGGATCATCTAAGCCAACTAACTAACATTATCGGATCAGAAAAGAAGCAGGCTGTTTTTATTCGGAAAGTTCAAATACACGCAAAAGCAGCAAATGACCTGAAAACTTGGGTCGATCATTGCTCCGATGCTATTACTGAATTATCTACCGATATTTGCTTGAATGACGAAAAGGAATCAAAAGCCGAATTGGATATTTTGAAACAGAAGATCAATGATATGCGCCCGACCGTACAAGCATTTGAAGCCATGGAATCTCGCATATTCATCACAAAAGATGGTTTGGAACTCGACCTCACAGATATAGGATTAGATCAAGATGAAATTAGAACCTCTGTGCACAACCGCAGAACAAGTCTCTTAAAAGCATGGGCAAGTCTTGAGACTCAGCATCAAGAGACATTTGATTTGCTAAATAATTCGAGACGGGGTAACGAAATTGCTCGTAAAGTGAAAAATGTTCTATCTCAGATAGGAAATATGAAGGACCGTGTAATTGCTATTCGTATCTGCCGTGCTACCCAACTAAATCATGGCGCTGACCACGATGATTTGAAGATTGTGCTGAGTTGTCCTCTGTCCTCAGTTCCTACAGAGCACCGTTTGGCTTCCGCTAAAGCTGAATTGACCATTTTGAGTCGCGATATTGAATCGTGTTTGCAAGTTTCTGTCAATGAGTTAGATAGTATGCTGAACGTAGTTGATCAACAAGGCCAAGGAGAAGTATTTCAAGGTCAGCGTGCCGAAATTACCGCCGCGTTATGTGGACTGACAAGCTTACTGAAAACCAAACACAAGGCTATAGATGAGGCCGAAAAATTGGAAGAATTTCTTATAGTAGTGGAAGAGCTAGACGTATTGTTACTTGCAACAAAAGATGTGATCTCCCGTGGTGATCCTTCTAATGCGCGTATTGTAGATGGAGCTTATAGTCGTACTGATTTACAAGCACTACTTATTGATTTGGATACTCGATACCGTTACTATGAACCTAAAATTGATGAACTTTTGGACGAATTAAAACAAGTATCGGAAAGCCATACAAACGATTCTCGTGTTATTGACTGTGTCAAGGACTTATCAGACAAATGGTCACAATTAAAAAAGGAATTCTCTTCAAAAAAGTCTGATTTAATGGCTCGTATAGGCCCCCTTAGTGGAACTTTCGACGAATTTTTTGCTGCCGAAGACATGTTACCAGAAAGAGGTCAAAAAGCTACTAGTTTATTGAGAAAAAAATCTGCACCTTTGTTAAAACAGTCTCCAAATTCCAAAATTATGCAACCAACACCTCGATATATGACTGGATATACTCGTACAACAAAGGCAAGTTTGACCTCAGCAACTCCTCCTCCTAGTATAGGCCCGTCAAAGCATCTTTCAAGAGCAAATAGTAGAAATGCTACCAACAATACTACATCACCTACTGCAAGAAGAGTAGTAGTTCGTCAAATGGCGGTTCAACAGCAACGACAACGTGCGTCTGCCAAAACACCTGAAAACTACGTGTCAGACCCTCAGAACGACTTGGATGTTGCTCTTGGTAATATTTTAAACGATTCTCCTTACAAAATTTTAGTCAAGATGGTTCCAGGTGAAGTAGGCAAATATTGGTTTGGGGATTTGAACCCAAAGTTAGCCTATTGTCGTATTTTGAGAAGTCGTATGGTTATGGTTCGTGTGGGTGGAGGGTGGGTGGAGCTTTCTCAATTTTTACGGGATCATGCACTACTAGAGGACGGAAACTTTATTCCTGGAG